GGCTGCTGTCCATTGCCACAGGTATGCTATGTTTCCTCAAAGTAAAGTTGACTATCTGTGCTCCGCACAATATCACACCAGCACAGATAGATTGTCAACATGCCATGGTTCGTCTTTATTGGTTTGATATTGTGTATGAGGTACATTTTAGGTGAATGCCCAATGCAGAAGTCGCAATGACTAGTATAATGAGCTCAAGTGTAGCTTGTAGCCACCCACTTTTTCTGCTATGAGAGTTGTTTTTTTGTGTGTTCACTTTTTCCTTTGTGACTAGAAAGCAGGTGACCTAATAAGTTATAAGTGTTACTTGCGGGTGATTGGTGGGTGCTCTGGTGTGGTTTGCTTCTTCTTTCCTATCAAACATCTATCGTACTTATCTCCCCTCCTTCTTTTCTGTTTGTTACTCTCTTGTAACACCTCTAATCTTCTGGCGCTCATATGACCGTATGCAGTTTCGAGCGCCATAAAACCTCTACTACAAAATCTCGCACAAACTTAGAACATTTTAATGATTTTTTAAAAAAAGTTTGTCTTTACGTGTTATTAAAATGGGAATGTTGAAATCTCACCATATGAATCATCATCGTTCAATATCCAACTTTATGGCATGTTTTTAATTTTTTTTAAGGCTACATGCTGCTCTGACCATCTTCACTGCTGCCCCAACGGCTACAAGTGTGATGTTGCTCATGGAAAATGCCTCAGGGGTGGAGATGTTCTTTCTTGGTTCAACAAGGAACCTGCCACTGAGGTAAGAATGATAAAATCAGTGCTGTAGATGTTTACATAGTGGAAATTGCTTTAGCCTTTTGAACTTTTAAAAGTTCTATCCGTTTGATTGTGTGAAAAACTGGAATTCCTCAGTAGTTCGTCCCATTTTGTATAATTGATGTATATGTTAATAAGTGTGAATTCTGTTGAAACAGGGTGCTTGCTTTAAAAAATGAGAAATGATTCTTGTTGTTTACGTAGCATAATAATTTACTGTGTTGTTGGCAGAATATTATGCCATTACAAATACTTGTGGTTGTTGGATTTCATATTTTGTTTCAGTCACATCGTCTATATTTGCTAGAATCAATACTAGATGTACATGTGTCAGGACGTGGTGAAATCAAGCGCTTTGGGGCATATGGACTTAATGGTATCATCTTAAAGCTTGTTTATTGTCTTGCTTTGAAAAAACAATTACTGATCCATCTTCAATAAAAGTCCAGATATTTTGGATTGAAGAAGTTGAGGGTCATGTGGTTTCGGAGGTAAAATTAGCAAGAAAATAGCCACCAAAGTTGGGTGACATTTAAAGCTTGAAAGTCCTCGTAAACTGTAAATTTATATTTTTTGTACCTTTAATCAACATTTTAAAGTTAAAGTGATTAGCCTTAGCAAAAAAATAACAATTTGATAAAAGTTGCCAAATGGTAAGAAAAATGCTGTTTTCTTTACTTTCATTATTTTTACAAGCGCCTGATTTCACCACGACACCTCACAAATGTGTTTAACTGGAAAAAAAAAATGTTTCTATTTTTATAAATGTTCCAACATTTTAATAGGTAGAGGGCTTATGCATAGGAAAACTTTTTAAAGATTTTGTACTGATTTTGAAGTCATGATAAGAACATGCACAGCAGCAGACCCCTTAACAGTTTTGCATAGCATCCAGATCCTAAGTATGTGGGTCATATAATGTTTTTGTATCTGTGATCATGATTGGGTTTTTTTTTCTTCCTTGTATAGATTGAGACCAAAGTAGAGCATGTGGTGTGCCCAGGAGGAACATCTTACTGCCCTGATGGAACCACCTGTTGTCAACTTGCTTCTGGACAGTATGGCTGCTGTCCATTGCCACAGGTATGTTGTGTTTCCTCAAAATAATGTTGTCTACCTTCCCTGGCCACTGATGTGGTAGAAATAGAAGCTTGTAGTTTTTGCCATACTGTACAGTTTGGTTTTGGCTGGTTTCATCGATCTCTATGGTAATATTTCTCTAATTATATATGCTTGGTTATTATAATAATTTGTACATTATAGAATTTACCAATATTGCATCATGTACAATATCAAACCTATGCAGACAGTCAATACACCATGGCGCATTTACATTGGATGCTACTGTGTATGATGTACCGATGATATTGGAGAATAAGGGGTCAGTCTATCTGAAGTATGCCCAATGTAGAACTTGCAGTCCCTCATACAGGGAGCACAAGTTTAGCTTGCACCCTCCCACTTTTTGTGTTATGGGAATTTTGTCTTATGCTCTTTTTCCTGAATTACTAGCAAGCAATGTCCTGGTGAAGTATTTGTATTACTTGGCTGGGAGATAGACTGAAGTCTCACACAAACTTTTAAGCTTTTAACTGATCATGCTTGCAGAGCAGTTTTTCTTACTTGATAGAACTATTGAAACGTTGTGTTCTTTTTCCACTATATAATCATTATGCTGTGTCCAACTTTATGGCACATTTGGAATTTGGTTTTTTGGTTAATTTTTTTAAGGCTACATGCTGCTCTGACCATCTTCACTGCTGCCCCAACGGCTACAAGTGTGATGTTGCTCATGGAAAATGCCTCAGGGGTGGAGATGTTCTCTCTTGGTTCAACAAGGAACCTGCCACTGAGGTGAGAATGACAAAATCAGTGCTGCTAGGTCTTTTCATTGTGAAAATTGCTGTAACCTTTTAAACTTTTAGAAGGTCTATCAGTTTTGTTGTTTGAAAAACTTGGCTTTCTCAGTAGTGCGTCCTATTCATATAATTACCACATAATATGTTTATAAGTGCAATTCTCTTCAAACAGACTGCTTACTTATAATTGATAAATTTTTCTTTTTGTTTATATGGCAACATATTTTACTTGTTATTGTGAGAATATCAAGCCTTTACAAATATTTGCTATTGTTAAATTTTGTATTTTGTTTCAATCACATCATAAATATGTTTTGCTTGAAAAAAATCTTTCTGTTTTTGTTAATGCTTTGACAGTTCCTATTGAATAGGGCCTTAAGTATGACAAGATTTCTGAAATATTTTGTAGATTCTATTGATTTTGAGGTTTTTGTGAGAAAATGTGCACCGCAGAAAGATCCCTAAATGGTTTTTGTTTAGCATCTAGACCCAAGTGTGAGGTTTATGTCTTGTATACATCAGTAAGAGCGATACAAAAGTCTGCATTACAACTAACGTGCAAGGAAATGTTTTGAAGATAATATTTTCACTGGAAAACACTCTTAAGTATAGGATGCCTTTCAAAAGATTTTGAGATCTTTGTGAGAATATGCACTGCAGCAGACTCCTTATCTGTTCTGGTTAGCATGCAGACCCAGAGTATGTGGATCATATCGTGATTTGTGTCAGTGATCATCACTGGGGGTTTTTTCTGCCATGTATAGATTGAGACCAAAGTAGAGCATGTGGTGTGCCCAGGAGGAACATCTTACTGCCCTGATGGAACCACCTGTTGTCAACTTGCTTCTGGACTGTATGGCTGCTGTCCTTTGCCACAGGTATGTTGTGTTTCCTCAAAATAAAGCTGACTACTTGTTCTGGCCCCTGACATTGACCACTGACGTGATAGTAGTAGAAGCTTTCAGTTCTTGACAGTTTGGTTTGGTTGGTTTCATTGATACCCTATAGGAATATTTCACTTACCATATATAGTTAAATTAATTTATACAAAATAGAATAGACCAATATTGCATAATTTACAATATCAAACCTACCCATCCAGTCAATACACAATGGCACGTTTACATTAGATGGTGTTATGTATGATGTACAGTTGATGTGGGAAAATAAGAAGTCAGTCCATCTGAAGCTAAATTATGGAAATTTTGTCATCAGCTTTTTTTTTTTCTGAATAACTAGCAAGCAATGTCTTTGTAAAGTATTGGTATTTTTTTGCTGTGAGATAGATTGAAATTTCACACAAACTTTGAAACTTTCAATTGATCATGCTTGCACAGCAGTTTTTCCTTACATGATGGTACTGTTAAAATATTGCAATCTTTTTCCACTATATGAATCATCGTTCATTATCCAACTTCATGGTATGATTTGAATTTGTTTTTTCACCATTATCCTAAGGCTACATGCTGCTCTGACCATCTTCACTGCTGCCCCAACGGCTACAAGTGTGATGTTGCTCATGGAAAATGCCTCAGGGGTGGAGATGTTCTTTCTTGGTTCAACAAGGAACCTGCCACTGAGGTAAGAATGATAAAATCAGTGCTGTAGATGTTTACATAGTGGAAATTGCTTTAGCCTTTTGAACTTTTAAAAGTTCTATCCGTTTGATTGTGTGAAAAACTGGAATTCCTCAGTAGTTCGTCCCATTTTGTATAATTGATGTATATGTTAATAAGTGTGAATTCTGTTGAAACAGGGTGCATGCTTTAAAAAATGAGAAATGATTCTTGTTGTTTACGTAGCATAATAATTTACTGTGTTGTTGGCAGAATATTATGCCATTACAAATACTTGTGGTTGTTGGATTTCATATTTTGTTTCAGTCACATCGTCTATATTTGCTAGAATCAATACTAGATGTACATGTGTCAGGACGTGGTGAAATCAAGCGCTTTGGGGCATATGGACTTAATGGTATCATCTTAAAGCTTGTTTATTGTCTTGCTTTGAAAAAACAATTACTGATCCATCTTCAATAAAAGTCCAGATATTTTGGATTGAAGAAGTTGAGGGTCATGTGGTTTCGGAGGTAAAATTAGCAAGAAAATAGCCACCAAAGTTGGGTGACATTTAAAGCTTGAAAGTCCTCGTAAACTGTAAATTTATATTTTTTGTACCTTTAATCAACATTTTAAAGTTAAAGTGATTAGCCTTAGCAAAAAAATAACAATTTGATAAAAGTTGCCAAATGGTAAGAAAAATGCTGTTTTCTTTACTTTCATTATTTTTACAAGCGCCTGATTTCACCACGACACCTCACAAATGTGTTTAACTGGAAAAAAAAAATGTTTCTATTTTTATAAATGTTCCAACATTTTAATAGGTAGAGGGCTTATGCATAGGAAAACTTTTTAAAGATTTTGTACTGATTTTGAAGTCATGATAAGAACATGCACAGCAGCAGACCCCTTAACAGTTTTGCATAGCATCCAGATCCTAAGTATGTGGGTCATATAATGTTTTTGTATCTGTGATCATGATTGGGTTTTTTTTTCTTCCTTGTATAGATTGAGACCAAAGTAGAGCATGTGGTGTGCCCAGGAGGAACATCTTACTGCCCTGATGGAACCACCTGTTGTCAACTTGCTTCTGGACTGTATGGCTGCTGTCCTTTGCCACAGGTATGTTGTGTTTCCTCAAAATAAAGCTGACTACTTGTTCTGGCCCCTGACATTGACCACTGACGTGATAGTAGTAGAAGCTTTCAGTTCTTGACAGTTTGGTTTGGTTGGTTTCATTGATACCCTATAGGAATATTTCACTTACCATATATAGTTAAATTAATTTATACAAAATAGAATAGACCAATATTGCATAATTTACAATATCAAACCTACCCATCCAGTCAATACACAATGGCACGTTTACATTAGATGGTGTTATGTATGATGTACAGTTGATGTGGGAAAATAAGAAGTCAGTCCATCTGAAGCTAAATTATGGAAATTTTGTCATCAGCTTTTTTTTTTCTGAATAACTAGCAAGCAATGTCTTTGTAAAGTATTGGTATTTTTTTGCTGTGAGATAGATTGAAATTTCACACAAACTTTGAAACTTTCAATTGATCATGCTTGCACAGCAGTTTTTCCTTACATGATGGTACTGTTAAAATATTGCAATCTTTTTCCACTATATGAATCATCGTTCATTATCCAACTTCATGGTATGATTTGAATTTGTTTTTTCACCATTATCCTAAGGCTACATGCTGCTCTGACCATCTTCACTGCTGCCCCAACGGCTACAAGTGTGATGTTGCTCATGGAAAATGCCTCAGGGGTGGAGATGTTCTTTCTTGGTTCAACAAGGAACCTGCCACTGAGGTAAGAATGATAAAATCAGTGCTGTAGATGTTTACATAGTGGAAATTGCTTTAGCCTTTTGAACTTTTAAAAGTTCTATCCGTTTGATTGTGTGAAAAACTGGAATTCCTCAGTAGTTCGTCCCATTTTGTATAATTGATGTATATGTTAATAAGTGTGAATTCTGTTGAAACAGGGTGCATGCTTTAAAAAATGAGAAATGATTCTTGTTGTTTACGTAGCATAATAATTTACTGTGTTGTTGGCAGAATATTATGCCATTACAAATACTTGTGGTTGTTGGATTTCATATTTTGTTTCAGTCACATCGTCTATATTTGCTAGAATCAATACTAGATGTACATGTGTCAGGACGTGGTGAAATCAAGCGCTTTGGGGCATATGGACTTAATGGTATCATCTTAAAGCTTGTTTATTGTCTTGCTTTGAAAAAACAATTACTGATCCATCTTCAATAAAAGTCCAGATATTTTGGATTGAAGAAGTTGAGGGTCATGTGGTTTCGGAGGTAAAATTAGCAAGAAAATAGCCACCAAAGTTGGGTGACATTTAAAGCTTGAAAGTCCTCGTAAACTGTAAATTTATATTTTTTGTACCTTTAATCAACATTTTAAAGTTAAAGTGATTAGCCTTAGCAAAAAAATAACAATTTGATAAAAGTTGCCAAATGGTAAGAAAAATGCTGTTTTCTTTACTTTCATTATTTTTACAAGCGCCTGATTTCACCACGACACCTCACAAATGTGTTTAACTGGAAAAAAAAAATGTTTCTATTTTTATAAATGTTCCAACATTTTAATAGGTAGAGGGCTTATGCATAGGAAAACTTTTTAAAGATTTTGTACTGATTTTGAAGTCATGATAAGAACATGCACAGCAGCAGACCCCTTAACAGTTTTGCATAGCATCCAGATCCTAAGTATGTGGGTCATATAATGTTTTTGTATCTGTGATCATGATTGGGTTTTTTTTTCTTCCTTGTATAGATTGAGACCAAAGTAGAGCATGTGGTGTGCCCAGGAGGAACATCTTACTGCCCTGATGGAACCACCTGTTGTCAACTTGCTTCTGGACAGTATGGCTGCTGTCCATTGCCACAGGTATGTTGTGTTTCCTCAAAATAATGTTGTCTACCTTCCCTGGCCACTGATGTGGTAGAAATAGAAGCTTGTAGTTTTTGCCATACTGTACAGTTTGGTTTTGGCTGGTTTCATCGATCTCTATGGTAATATTTCTCTAATTATATATGCTTGGTTATTATAATAATTTGTACATTATAGAATTTACCAATATTGCATCATGTACAATATCAAACCTATGCAGACAGTCAATACACCATGGCGCATTTACATTGGATGCTACTGTGTATGATGTACCGATGATATTGGAGAATAAGGGGTCAGTCTATCTGAAGTATGCCCAATGTAGAACTTGCAGTCCCTCATACAGGGAGCACAAGTTTAGCTTGCACCCTCCCACTTTTTGTGTTATGGGAATTTTGTCTTATGCTCTTTTTCCTGAATTACTAGCAAGCAATGTCCTGGTGAAGTATTTGTATTACTTGGCTGGGAGATAGACTGAAGTCTCACACAAACTTTTAAGCTTTTAACTGATCATGCTTGCAGAGCAGTTTTTCTTACTTGATAGAACTATTGAAACGTTGTGTTCTTTTTCCACTATATAATCATTATGCTGTGTCCAACTTTATGGCACATTTGGAATTTGGTTTTTTGGTTAATTTTTTTAAGGCTACATGCTGCTCTGACCATCTTCACTGCTGCCCCAACGGCTACAAGTGTGATGTTGCTCATGGAAAATGCCTCAGGGGTGGAGATGTTCTTTCTTGGTTCAACAAGGAACCTGCCACTGAGGTAAGAATGATAAAATCAGTGCTGTAGATGTTTACATAGTGGAAATTGCTTTAGCCTTTTGAACTTTTAAAAGTTCTATCCGTTTGATTGTGTGAAAAACTGGAATTCCTCAGTAGTTCGTCCCATTTTGTATAATTGATGTATATGTTAATAAGTGTGAATTCTGTTGAAACAGGGTGCATGCTTTAAAAAATGAGAAATGATTCTTGTTGTTTACGTAGCATAATAATTTACTGTGTTGTTGGCAGAATATTATGCCATTACAAATACTTGTGGTTGTTGGATTTCATATTTTGTTTCAGTCACATCGTCTATATTTGCTAGAATCAATACTAGATGTACATGTGTCAGGACGTGGTGAAATCAAGCGCTTTGGGGCATATGGACTTAATGGTATCATCTTAAAGCTTGTTTATTGTCTTGCTTTGAAAAAACAATTACTGATCCATCTTCAATAAAAGTCCAGATATTTTGGATTGAAGAAGTTGAGGGTCATGTGGTTTCGGAGGTAAAATTAGCAAGAAAATAGCCACCAAAGTTGGGTGACATTTAAAGCTTGAAAGTCCTCGTAAACTGTAAATTTATATTTTTTGTACCTTTAATCAACATTTTAAAGTTAAAGTGATTAGCCTTAGCAAAAAAATAACAATTTGATAAAAGTTGCCAAATGGTAAGAAAAATGCTGTTTTCTTTACTTTCATTATTTTTACAAGCGCCTGATTTCACCACGACACCTCACAAATGTGTTTAACTGGAAAAAAAAAATGTTTCTATTTTTATAAATGTTCCAACATTTTAATAGGTAGAGGGCTTATGCATAGGAAAACTTTTTAAAGATTTTGTACTGATTTTGAAGTCATGATAAGAACATGCACAGCAGCAGACCCCTTAACAGTTTTGCATAGCATCCAGATCCTAAGTATGTGGGTCATATAATGTTTTTGTATCTGTGATCATGATTGGGTTTTTTTTTCTTCCTTGTATAGATTGAGACCAAAGTAGAGCATGTGGTGTGCCCAGGAGGAACATCTTACTGCCCTGATGGAACCACCTGTTGTCAACTTGCTTCTGGACAGTATGGCTGCTGTCCATTGCCACAGGTATGTTGTGTTTCCTCAAAATAATGTTGTCTACCTTCCCTGGCCACTGATGTGGTAGAAATAGAAGCTTGTAGTTTTTGCCATACTGTACAGTTTGGTTTTGGCTGGTTTCATCGATCTCTATGGTAATATTTCTCTAATTATATATGCTTGGTTATTATAATAATTTGTACATTATAGAATTTACCAATATTGCATCATGTACAATATCAAACCTATGCAGACAGTCAATACACCATGGCGCATTTACATTGGATGCTACTGTGTATGATGTACCGATGATATTGGAGAATAAGGGGTCAGTCTATCTGAAGTATGCCCAATGTAGAACTTGCAGTCCCTCATACAGGGAGCACAAGTTTAGCTTGCACCCTCCCACTTTTTGTGTTATGGGAATTTTGTCTTATGCTCTTTTTCCTGAATTACTAGCAAGCAATGTCCTGGTGAAGTATTTGTATTACTTGGCTGGGAGATAGACTGAAGTCTCACACAAACTTTTAAGCTTTTAACTGATCATGCTTGCAGAGCAGTTTTTCTTACTTGATAGAACTATTGAAACGTTGTGTTCTTTTTCCACTATATAATCATTATGCTGTGTCCAACTTTATGGCACATTTGGAATTTGGTTTTTTGGTTAATTTTTTTAAGGCTACATGCTGCTCTGACCATCTTCACTGCTGCCCCAACGGCTACAAGTGTGATGTTGCTCATGGAAAATGCCTCAGGGGTGGAGATGTTCTCTCTTGGTTCAACAAGGAACCTGCCACTGAGGTGAGAATGACAAAATCAGTGCTGCTAGGTCTTTTCATTGTGAAAATTGCTGTAACCTTTTAAACTTTTAGAAGGTCTATCAGTTTTGTTGTTTGAAAAACTTGGCTTTCTCAGTAGTGCGTCCTATTCATATAATTACCACATAATATGTTTATAAGTGCAATTCTCTTCAAACAGACTGCTTACTTATAATTGATAAATTTTTCTTTTTGTTTATATGGCAACATATTTTACTTGTTATTGTGAGAATATCAAGCCTTTACAAATATTTGCTATTGTTAAATTTTGTATTTTGTTTCAATCACATCATAAATATGTTTTGCTTGAAAAAAATCTTTCTGTTTTTGTTAATGCTTTGACAGTTCCTATTGAATAGGGCCTTAAGTATGACAAGATTTCTGAAATATTTTGTAGATTCTATTGATTTTGAGGTTTTTGTGAGAAAATGTGCACCGCAGAAAGATCCCTAAATGGTTTTTGTTTAGCATCTAGACCCAAGTGTGAGGTTTATGTCTTGTATACATCAGTAAGAGCGATACAAAAGTCTGCATTACAACTAACGTGCAAGGAAATGTTTTGAAGATAATATTTTCACTGGAAAACACTCTTTAAGTATAGGATGCCTTTCAAAAGATTTTGAGATCTTTGTGAGAATATGCACTGCAGCAGACTCCTTATCTGTTCTGGTTAGCATGCAGACCCAGAGTATGTGGATCATATCGTGATTTGTGTCAGTGATCATCACTGGGGGTTTTTTCTGCCATGTATAGATTGAGACCAAAGTAGAGCATGTGGTGTGCCCAGGAGGAACATCTTACTGCCCTGATGGAACCACCTGTTGTCAACTTGCTTCTGGACAGTATGGCTGCTGTCCTTTGCCACAGGTATGTTGTGTTTCCTCAAAATAAAGCTGACTACTTGTTCTGGCCCCTGACATTGACCACTGACGTGATAGTAGTAGAAGCTTTCAGTTCTTGACAGTTTGGTTTGGTTGGTTTCATTGATACCCTATAGGAATATTTCACTTACCATATATAGTTAAATTAATTTATACAAAATAGAATAGACCAATATTGCATAATTTACAATATCAAACCTACCCATCCAGTCAATACACAATGGCACGTTTACATTAGATGGTGTTATGTATGATGTACAGTTGATGTGGGAAAATAAGAAGTCAGTCCATCTGAAGCTAAATTATGGAAATTTTGTCATCAGCTTTTTTTTTTCTGAATAACTAGCAAGCAATGTCTTTGTAAAGTATTGGTATTTTTTTGCTGTGAGATAGATTGAAATTTCACACAAACTTTGAAACTTTCAATTGATCATGCTTGCACAGCAGTTTTTCCTTACATGATGGTACTGTTAAAATATTGCAATCTTTTTCCACTATATGAATCATCGTTCATTATCCAACTTCATGGTATGATTTGAATTTGTTTTTTCACCATTATCCTAAGGCTACATGCTGCTCTGACCATCTTCACTGCTGCCCCAACGGCTACAAGTGTGATGTTGCTCATGGAAAATGCCTCAGGGGTGGAGATGTTCTTTCTTGGTTCAACAAGGAACCTGCCACTGAGGTAAGAATGATAAAATCAGTGCTGTAGATGTTTACATAGTGGAAATTGCTTTAGCCTTTTGAACTTTTAAAAGTTCTATCCGTTTGATTGTGTGAAAAACTGGAATTCCTCAGTAGTTCGTCCCATTTTGTATAATTGATGTATATGTTAATAAGTGTGAATTCTGTTGAAACAGGGTGCTTGCTTTAAAAAATGAGAAATGATTCTTGTTGTTTACGTAGCATAATAATTTACTGTGTTGTTGGCAGAATATTATGCCATTACAAATACTTGTGGTTGTTGGATTTCATATTTTGTTTCAGTCACATCGTCTATATTTGCTAGAATCAATACTAGATGTACATGTGTCAGGACGTGGTGAAATCAAGCGCTTTGGGGCATATGGACTTAATGGTATCATCTTAAAGCTTGTTTATTGTCTTGCTTTGAAAAAACAATTACTGATCCATCTTCAATAAAAGTCCAGATATTTTGGATTGAAGAAGTTGAGGGTCATGTGGTTTCGGAGGTAAAATTAGCAAGAAAATAGCCACCAAAGTTGGGTGACATTTAAAGCTTGAAAGTCCTCGTAAACTGTAAATTTATATTTTTTGTACCTTTAATCAACATTTTAAAGTTAAAGTGATTAGCCTTAGCAAAAAAATAACAATTTGATAAAAGTTGCCAAATGGTAAGAAAAATGCTGTTTTCTTTACTTTCATTATTTTTACAAGCGCCTGATTTCACCACGACACCTCACAAATGTGTTTAACTGGAAAAAAAAAATGTTTCTATTTTTATAAATGTTCCAACATTTTAATAGGTAGAGGGCTTATGCATAGGAAAACTTTTTAAAGATTTTGTACTGATTTTGAAGTCATGATAAGAACATGCACAGCAGCAGACCCCTTAACAGTTTTGCATAGCATCCAGATCCTAAGTATGTGGGTCATATAATGTTTTTGTATCTGTGATCATGATTGGGTTTTTTTTTCTTCCTTGTATAGATTGAGACCAAAGTAGAGCATGTGGTGTGCCCAGGAGGAACATCTTACTGCCCTGATGGAACCACCTGTTGTCAACTTGCTTCTGGACAGTATGGCTGCTGTCCATTGCCACAGGTATGTTGTGTTTCCTCAAAATAATGTTGTCTACCTTCCCTGGCCACTGATGTGGTAGAAATAGAAGCTTGTAGTTTTTGCCATACTGTACAGTTTGGTTTTGGCTGGTTTCATCGATCTCTATGGTAATATTTCTCTAATTATATATGCTTGGTTATTATAATAATTTGTACATTATAGAATTTACCAATATTGCATCATGTACAATATCAAACCTATGCAGACAGTCAATACACCATGGCGCATTTACATTGGATGCTACTGTGTATGATGTACCGATGATATTGGAGAATAAGGGGTCAGTCTATCTGAAGTATGCCCAATGTAGAACTTGCAGTCCCTCATACAGGGAGCACAAGTTTAGCTTGCACCCTCCCACTTTTTGTGTTATGGGAATTTTGTCTTATGCTCTTTTTCCTGAATTACTAGCAAGCAATGTCCTGGTGAAGTATTTGTATTACTTGGCTGGGAGATAGACTGAAGTCTCACACAAACTTTTAAGCTTTTAACTGATCATGCTTGCAGAGCAGTTTTTCTTACTTGATAGAACTATTGAAACGTTGTGTTCTTTTTCCACTATATAATCATTATGCTGTGTCCAACTTTATGGCACATTTGGAATTTGGTTTTTTGGTTAATTTTTTTAAGGCTACATGCTGCTCTGACCATCTTCACTGCTGCCCCAACGGCTACAAGTGTGATGTTGCTCATGGAAAATGCCTCAGGGGTGGAGATGTTCTTTCTTGGTTCAACAAGGAACCTGCCACTGAGGTAAGAATGATAAAATCAGTGCTGTAGATGTTTACATAGTGGAAATTGCTTTAGCCTTTTGAACTTTTAAAAGTTCTATCCGTTTGATTGTGTGAAAAACTGGAATTCCTCAGTAGTTCGTCCCATTTTGTATAATTGATGTATATGTTAATAAGTGTGAATTCTGTTGAAACAGGGTGCATGCTTTAAAAAATGAGAAATGATTCTTGTTGTTTACGTAGCATAATAATTTACTGTGTTGTTGGCAGAATATTATGCCATTACAAATACTTGTGGTTGTTGGATTTCATATTTTGTTTCAGTCACATCGTCTATATTTGCTAGAATCAATACTAGATGTACATGTGTCAGGACGTGGTGAAATCAAGCGCTTTGGGGCATATGGACTTAATGGTATCATCTTAAAGCTTGTTTATTGTCTTGCTTTGAAAAAACAATTACTGATCCATCTTCAATAAAAGTCCAGATATTTTGGATTGAAGAAGTTGAGGGTCATGTGGTTTCGGAGGTAAAATTAGCAAGAAAATAGCCACCAAAGTTGGGTGACATTTAAAGCTTGAAAGTCCTCGTAAACTGTAAATTTATATTTTTTGTACCTTTAATCAACATTTTAAAGTTAAAGTGATTAGCCTTAGCAAAAAAATAACAATTTGATAAAAGTTGCCAAATGGTAAGAAAAATGCTGTTTTCTTTACTTTCATTATTTTTACAAGCGCCTGATTTCACCACGACACCTCACAAATGTGTTTAACTGGAAAAAAAAAATGTTTCTATTTTTATAAATGTTCCAACATTTTAATAGGTAGAGGGCTTATGCATAGGAAAACTTTTTAAAGATTTTGTACTGATTTTGAAGTCATGATAAGAACATGCACAGCAGCAGACCCCTTAACAGTTTTGCATAGCATCCAGATCCTAAGTATGTGGGTCATATAATGTTTTTGTATCTGTGATCATGATTGGGTTTTTTTTTCTTCCTTGTATAGATTGAGACCAAAGTAGAGCATGTGGTGTGCCCAGGAGGAACATCTTACTGCCCTGATGGAACCACCTGTTGTCAACTTGCTTCTGGACAGTATGGCTGCTGTCCATTGCCACAGGTATGTTGTGTTTCCTCAAAATAATGTTGTCTACCTTCCCTGGCCACTGATGTGGTAGAAATAGAAGCTTGTAGTTTTTGCCATACTGTACAGTTTGGTTTTGGCTGGTTTCATCGATCTCTATGGTAATATTTCTCTAATTATATATGCTTGGTTATTATAATAATTTGTACATTATAGAATTTACCAATATTGCATCATGTACAATATCAAACCTATGCAGACAGTCAATACACCATGGCGCATTTACATTGGATGCTACTGTGTATGATGTACCGATGATATTGGAGAATAAGGGGTCAGTCTATCTGAAGTATGCCCAATGTAGAACTTGCAGTCCCTCATACAGGGAGCACAAGTTTAGCTTGCACCCTCCCACTTTTTGTGTTATGGGAATTTTGTCTTATGCTCTTTTTCCTGAATTACTAGCAAGCAATGTCCTGGTGAAGTATTTGTATTACTTGGCTGGGAGATAGACTGAAGTCTCACACAAACTTTTAAGCTTTTAACTGATCATGCTTGCAGAGCAGTTTTTCTTACTTGATAGAACTATTGAAACGTTGTGTTCTTTTTCCACTATATAATCATTATGCTGTGTCCAACTTTATGGCACATTTGGAATTTGGTTTTTTGGTTAATTTTTTTAAGGCTACATGCTGCTCTGACCATCTTCACTGCTGCCCCAACGGCTACAAGTGTGATGTTGCTCATGGAAAATGCCTCAGGGGTGGAGATGTTCTCTCTTGGTTCAACAAGGAACCTGCCACTGAGGTGAGAATGACAAAATCAGTGCTGCTAGGTCTTTTCATTGTGAAAATTGCTGTAACCTTTTAAACTTTTAGAAGGTCTATCAGTTTTGTTGTTTGAAAAACTTGGCTTTCTCAGTAGTGCGTCCTATTCATATAATTACCACATAATATGTTTATAAGTGCAATTCTCTTCAAACAGACTGCTTACTTATAATTGATAAATTTTTCTTTTTGTTTATATGGCAACATATTTTACTTGTTATTGTGAGAATATCAAGCCTTTACAAATATTTGCTATTGTTAAATTTTGTATTTTGTTTCAATCACATCATAAATATGTTTTGCTTGAAAAAAATCTTTCTGTTTTTGTTAATGCTTTGACAGTTCCTATTGAATAGGGCCTTAAGTATGACAAGATTTCTGAAATATTTTGTAGATTCTATTGATTTTGAGGTTTTTGTGAGAAAATGTGCACCGCAGAAAGATCCCTAAATGGTTTTTGTTTAGCATCTAGACCCAAGTGTGAGGTTTATGTCTTGTATACATCAGTAAGAGCGATACAAAAGTCTGCATTACAACTAACGTGCAAGGAAATGTTTTGAAGATAATATTTTCACTGGAAAACACTCTTTAAGTATAGGATGCCTTTCAAAAGATTTTGAGATCTTTGTGAGAATATGCACTGCAGCAGACTCCTTATCTGTTCTGGTTAGCATGCAGACCCAGAGTATGTGGATCATATCGTGATTTGTGTCAGTGATCATCACTGGGGGTTTTTTCTGCCATGTATAGATTGAGACCAAAGTAGAGCATGTGGTGTGCCCAGGAGGAACATCTTACTGCCCTGATGGAACCACCTGTTGTCAACTTGCTTCTGGACAGTATGGCTGCTGTCCTTTGCCACAGGTATGTTGTGTTTCCTCAAAATAAAGCTGACTACTTGTTCTGGCCCCTGACATTGACCACTGACGTGATAGTAGTAGAAGCTTTCAGTTCTTGACAGTTTGGTTTGGTTGGTTTCATTGATACCCTATAGGAATATTTCACTTACCATATATAGTTAAATTAATTTATACAAAATAGAATAGACCAATATTGCATAATTTACAATATCAAACCTACCCATCCAGTCAATACACAATGGCACGTTTACATTAGATGGTGTTATGTATGATGTACAGTTGATGTGGGAAAATAAGAAGTCAGTCCATCTGAAGCTAAATTATGGAAATTTTGTCATCAGCTTTTTTTTTTCTGAATAACTAGCAAGCAATGTCTTTGTAAAGTATTGGTATTTTTTTGCTGTGAGATAGATTGAAATTTCACACAAACTTTGAAACTTTCAATTGATCATGCTTGCACAGCAGTTTTTCCTTACATGATGGTACTGTTAAAATATTGCAATCTTTTTCCACTATATGAATCATCGTTCACTATCCAACTTCATGGTATGATTTGAATTTGTTTTTTCACCATTATCCTAAGGCTACATGCTGCTCTGACCATCTTCACTGCTGCCCCAACGGCTACAAGTGTGATGTTGCTCATGGAAAATGCCTCAGGGGTGGAGATGTTCTTTCTTGGTTCAACAAGGAACCTGCCACTGAGGTAAGAATGATAAAATCAGTGCTGTAGATGTTTACATAGTGGAAATTGCTTTAGCCTTTTGAACTTTTAAAAGTTCTATCCGTTTGATTGTGTGAAAAACTGGAATTCCTCAGTAGTTCGTCCCATTTTGTATAATTGATGTATATGTTAATAAGTGTGAATTCTGTTGAAACAGGGTGCATGCTTTAAAAAATGAGAAATGATTCTTGTTGTTTACGTAGCATAATAATTTACTGTGTTGTTGGCAGAATATTATGCCATTACAAATACTTGTGGTTGTTGGATTTCATATTTTGTTTCAGTCACATCGTCTATATTTGCTAGAATCAATACTAGATGTACATGTGTCAGGACGTGGTGAAATCAAGCGCTTTGGGGCATATGGACTTAATGGTATCATCTTAAAGCTTGTTTATTGTCTTGCTTTGAAAAAACAATTACTGATCCATCTTCAATAAAAGTCCAGATATTTTGGATTGAAGAAGTTGAGGGTCATGTGGTTTCGGAGGTAAAATTAGCAAGAAAATAGCCACCAAAGTTGGGTGACATTTAAAGCTTGAAAGTCCTCGTAAACTGTAAATTTATATTTTTTGTACCTTTAATCAACATTTTAAAGTTAAAGTGATTAGCCTTAGCAAAAAAATAACAATTTGATAAAAGTTGCCAAATGGTAAGAAAAATGCTGTTTTCTTTACTTTCATTATTTTTACAAGCGCCTGATTTCACCACGACACCTCACAAATGTGTTTAACTGGGAAAAAAAAATGTTTCTATTTTTATAAATGTTCCAACATTTTAATAGGTAGAGGGCTTATGCATAGGAAAACTTTTTAAAGATTTTGTACTGATTTTGAAGTCATGATAAGAACATGCACAGCAGCAGACCCCTTAACAGTTTTGCATAGCATCCAGATCTTTGTCAATGCTTTTTCTGCCTTATATAGATTGAGACCAAAGTAGAGCATGTGGTGTGCCCAGGAGGAACATCTTACTGCCCTGATGGAACCACCTGTTGTCAACTTGCTTCTGGACAGTATGGCTGCTGTCCTTTGCCACAGGTATGTTATGTTTCCTCAAAATAAGGTGCTGGCTACACATGTAGTACAAATAGGAGCTTGTAGTTCTTGACGTACTGCAGATTTTGTTTTTGGTTTCTTTTAGTGATGATTATGATCCAAATGGGAATAGTTGGCTTTCCAAACACACATACATAGTTAAATTAATTCATACATACAAAATTCATACAAAAGAATTTACCGACATTATGCACAATATTACACCAATGCACAGTCACCATGCCATGGCTGATCTAAATTGATATGATACTGTGTATAATGTCACCTGTGTTTTGGAGAATAAGGAATTGGTACATTTGAGGCTTGCCGAACACGAGTTGTCGCCTCTCCTACCAGGAGCACAAGTGAAGCTTGTACCCACCCATTTTTTGTGCTATGAGGTTTTTTTTTCTTCAGTTTTTTTCTTAGCAAGCAAATGTCCTTGTAAAGGTGTACTTTACTGTGAGTTTGAAATGTCACTTAATCTCACACACAAACTTGAAAACTTTTCACTCGTCAATCTGGCACATCAGTTGTCTCTATACAATGAAGATGGGACTGTCGAAATGTTACAATATTTTTCCACACCTATGAATCATCATGCTATATCCAATTTCATGGCATGTTTTTAATTTTTTTTTACCATTGTCCTCAGGCTACATGCTGCTCTGACCATCTTCACTGCTGTCCCAACGGCTACAAGTGTGATGTTGCTCATGGAAAATGCCTCAGGGGTGGAGACATTCTATCATGGATGACCAAAAAAGTGGCCACTCCAGTGAGTAAATTCAACTTTGTAAATAAGTTGACAAGATATTCAGTTTTAATTCTTATCTGGGTTCTGATATTTTACTTTATACTTCATGTCACATTTTATTGCTTCTTTATAATGAAATAAATAGTGTGTTTTTTTCATATTACATCAAAGAAGATTTGTACCAAGGTACCTGACCTTTGTTTTTGAAAGACAAAGCACATTATATTGTGTGAGTTCTAATGTAAAGGTATTAACTTGCTGTTCCTTTAACAGAGGTTATATTTTTAAATTTCCATTTTGGTTTAGAGTAGCTTTTTCTAAAGAAAAACAAATGAGAAAATGTATGTATACTCCGATACTGTCGTTTTCCTTTTAATCAGTTCTTATGTTGCATTGCACAGATTTCTCCCAAAGCTGAGGTAGACCGTGTAGTGTGCCCAGGAGGATCTTCCTTCTGTCCCGATGGAAGCACCTGTTGTCAGCTGTCTTCTGGACAATATGGCTGCTGTCCTCGACCATCGGTAATTTTTTCTGATTGAGTAAATACGTTTAACATGAACTGTGATAGGCTGGCTTGTGTTGTGCATAGTCAAAATTGTTGAAAATGGTCTCCCATTGTCAAAGAGAAAAGTGGTTGTCTTAAACAGGTGGGCATCTTGAACGGTGTTATTAAAATAGAGAAAAAAATGCAGTGGGGGAAGTGGTTGTATTTGGATCTTTTAGGAGATGGGCTGCTTTGACCCTACATGTCATTGCCAACATGAGCTGAATAGCATACGCTTCTTTGTAGATTGGCAGAAACACTTTTAAATACCTCCCAACGTGGGAATTGAACTTGCGTCTTCTACGTGCAACAATGAAAAGCCTAACCATTTCACCACAGATGCTGACATTCAAAGATTAGTCAGTACATGGGGCAAATATTTAACAGGTGGATGACAACTGTGCCATGTTTTCATGGGAAGTGAGATGCCTAGTAAGCAGTGTAGACATAAATCCTGAGATGTAAAAGATTGTTGGTACTGTTTTGATGTACCGCTGTTTGCACACAGGACGGTGTTTGTCATATTATTGTGTATCAACCTCTATTTGAGAATGTTAAATGGAGGTTTTGTCCCACTTCATATTATTTATAAACTACTTGCTGAAATAGATACTGCTGCGACAGATATAAAACATGACTGGTCTGAGCAATTTTTGCTGTCGATGTTATGGTCAGTTATCCTTCCTATTTTTACACATTAATTTACTCTTAATGTATTTGACGTACTTCTGTTGATGGCTTCATAGCTCTTCTTTCTTGTTTCTGAAATTTTGTAAACTTGCACAGTTGAAATTGTCAAAGACAGCTACCCATTGCCAAGGACAAAAATGGCCATCTTAGACAGGTGGCTGTCTCTTACATTTCATTTTAATGATTTTAAAAAAAAAAAGGAGGGAGGATATGGGAAGTGGCAGGTAATTGTCTTATAGTGGTGGCTGTTACAGCTGGTTTGATAGTAGGCTATTTACAAAAAACACCTCTCGTTGAAAATTTGATATTCAACGTCTCTTAATGATTCATAAAATCTGATATGCTGCAGAAGCTGTTGAAAATTCTCACTTTATCGTAACCATGGAAAACCTGTATTCTTTGCTCAGGCTACATGTTGCTCTGACCATCTTCACTGCTGCCCCAACGGCTACAAGTGTGATGTTGCTCATGGAAAATGCATCAGGGGTGGAGACATTCTCTCTTGGTTCGACAAGGAACCTGCCACTGAGGTACCAAAATATTACTTACTCTTGCTTCAATTCATTTATGATGATATGTGTTGTTTGCAACGGAAGTTAATTTTGTGTGAATGATGTTATGGATTTTCTTCTTTGGCAGAACAATGACATTGATGTGTTTCTTAAATTTTCACGCCTTTGAAGTGGAAGTTTTTCTTTTTTCTGGGTTTTCCTTTTCATGAAGGGTGTTGTATTTAAAAAATACACCGAAAACCCCCCCAAAAAGTACACATACTTGGTTGTAGGACCACTGGTTGGTTCTACTTCTTTACAGTACCTCTGTTTTGTTTGTCTGTCTTGGTTTTCCTCCGGTCATTAATTACAGTAGTCTCCGCCTAAGATCCCGGTGCTCGGGAGCAAGGAAAATGCGGGACCTTAGCCGATGAACCCAGGGAAGAATCTACGGTGACCCATGTTAAGGCTCAAATTGGTAAAATGTTCTCCCTCCGCTCGAAAATGAACTGACGTGCCCCTTGGGTGGATTTATGACATATGGCGAATAAAGAGTAGTTAACTAATTGGCCTATCACAGTACATAGTGACATGAGGCGTGCCATTTTCACTTATTTTCCTATCGTGAGTCTCAAGATCTACGCTTATCCCTCCTCTTTACCTGTCGAAAATTTATAGCCTTCCTTCTCTGACCAAGTTCCCTTGTCTTTGTCGTTACGCACCATTACGTTGTGACCACAAAAATAAAAATTCAGTCTGTCACGCAAACTCAGGAATAGAGAAAACTGCTGCATTGGTCAGGGAAGAGTTCACAGCACGATGTGATCCCACCTGGAGCGAAGGCTGATCTTTGACACTACGGCCAGTTCATTGATCTCAACTTTTCACTCTTGGTTGATCGGTTGTGCCCACCCGGGTGTTTGCTCCATAAATTATGATCAGAAATGCGGGATCTTTGCCAAATGTTTACCTTCAGAGTGGATCAGAGCGGGATCTTAGGGGTGACTTTTGTATAGCAAAAATTCTGTTTTCTTAAAACAGCGGGATCTTTAGTGAACCGGGATCGTAAGCGGTGGGATCTTAGGCAGAGACTACTGTATTGTGTCAGTGTGCTTACTGTTCCCTCTGTGAAAAGAAGTTTACATTAAAATGAGATATCAAGCTTGATAAGAAAAATAAAGATCTGTGTCTTTTTTTATGAAGAATACCATTCGTCATGTTAAGCAATCTGTCAGGCTCTAATTTATTCTGAAGAGAACTAAGTGAATATTTGAAATGTTTCAGATTGCCCCCAAACCTGAGGTAGAGCATGTGGTGTGCCCAGGAGGAACATCTTACTGCCCTGATGGAACCACCTGTTGTCAACTTGCTTCTGGACAATATGGCTGCTGTCCATTGCCATCAGTGAGTTCAAAATTCAATGACATATATTTTCTAGTTGATATATATGTTAGAATGGTTTTTATCATATATATCAAATCTATTAAGACTGTACATTCCAACTCGTAGTTTAAGGTCATCAGCTGACAAAAAGAAATTTATTTTACCATCTATGAAACTTAAAACAACGGGTGAAAGGGCTTTTCAATACCAAGGCCCCAAAATCTGGAATGCTTTACCAAGTACTTTGAGAGAGATCACATCTTTTGATTCATTCGAATGTCAGCTGAAGTCGTTTCTGTTTTTAAATTAATGAGATGAATATTTGGAATAATTTTCTTTAGTGAGAACACAACGATTTATTTTACTGTTGTATGTTGTACGGTATTGTAAAGCGCTCAGAGCCTGAGTACTTTATTCGGGATTGAGCGCTATATAAATGTCATTTATTATAATTATTAGAAAGGATTTTCGCTTTAAAGTTAACTTGTTTTATTCTTTATGCGTTTTGATTTAACTCTTTGCTGTCCAACCCGGTCTTATCTTGCTGTTAGAAAATGCCGTCTCAGAGTTCAACACGGCTGAAACACACACATTGTTGCTCCCACAATGGTTCCTCAATTGTCAGCTTGACTCTGACAAAAATAGATCAATGGCATTAAGCTGTAGCTTTACTGTAAAGCTTGCATCAACAGGGAACATTCTCTTTTACACTGGAAAGCCACTATGTGCACAAGAAATTGAACAGATGGTGGGTGGACATTTTTGGCGAGGAATGAGAACAGAAAAAGGACCCTTATTTGTCTGTGCTTGTTATTCTGTGCAACAAATTATAAGATGAAGAAATCTGAGTTAGACTTTTTTATGTTTTTGCCCAGGCTACATGCTGCTCTGACCATCTTCACTGCTGCCCCAACGGCTACAAGTGTGATGTTGCTCATGGAAAATGCATCAGGGGTGGAGATGTTCTCTCTTGGTTCAACAAGGAACCTGCAACTCCTGTGAGTTTTTTCTGCTCTATATTGATGGCATTAGCAAACAATGTAGAAGTTTTAGAATCCAGCTCACATGTCTCAGAAACTGGAGATACAAACTTGGAAAGCAGACACTGTTGCTCCGTAGCAAATGATTCATAAATGCCAGCAGCTTGTGTTTGACCTGTTGCCATACAAGTCAATAGCTTGCACTTTATCTCGGAACCGTGATTATTGTTTGCCCTGTTTTTTAACTGAAATGAGATGGACTCCTTCCTAGTGTAGGAGTCTGTATTAGAGCAGTGCCCATTTGATTTTGCTATTCAACATTCAAGATTGTTGCCCTATTCACAGCTATTTGAAGCCATTCGAATGGCGTATGTTTTTTTAAATTCGATAAATGATTTTTATTTAATTTTTCTCAACCCGTCATAAAGTTATAGGTCTATATCACTGCGTTAAATACGAGTTGAAGTTGATGATTACTAGACAGAATGATAAGTGGAGCCAACAAGAGTTATGAAATTTGTCTCTAAGAAGTATTCACTACTATTTAATATTCAATAGTCACACAGCTTTTTGCTCAAAGATTTCGTTTCAGAGATTTAAACTTTCTTTTACCTTGCTTTGCAGCTTTTTTGAGTAGAGTATGTGCCCACTTCACCAGTTTCAATTTATAAAAAGTAGAAAGTTCCCAATATGAGAACTAGTGACTGGTAAAGCGTTGAGTATATGTTTTGTTGTTCCTTGCTCAGTGACTCATCAGGCTATATGCTTCTCTGACTTCAGGTATTGCTGCCCTAATGGCTTCTGATGTGACCTGATCCAGTAGACCTGTGTGACGGGAGACCAGATCACCTCTTGGCTCAGCAAGACACCTGCCACATTGCTGTGGAATGTGTCGCACTCATTGGGGCTAATTTAATTAGTTAGCAATCATTTGTATATATGTTTTTTTGTTTTTGACTTCACAAAAAAAGATGTGTTTGCTTTTATTTTTAAACTGTAATTTGTATGTGTTGTCTTTGTCCATTGATTCTAAAACAATTTTTTAATACAATCATGTATATTTGACACTGCTGAGTATATAGATGAAGCAGAAGTTTGAAAGATATTTGAACAATTGTGCAAGATGACTGTGGACAATATATTTTTACAACAAAGATAACAATTCCTCTTAACAACACCCATTGATGCCTGAAAATTTAGTGTGAGACTGTTCAGCAGGCAGCTCAACTATATTTATATATTAGTGTGTATTCCTTGTGTCACAGACTCGGTGAAATGTGCTATACTTATTGTTGCTCATTGAGTTTTTCATCACAAATTGGAATGAATCTGATTTGGTGTAGATTGTCATCTCTTATTTAATTATCATGACTAACATTCCATTTCATTGTGAAGTTTGTTCTCCCTTCATGTGATGTGCTATGTGAAAATGACAGTTCTTATTTTGCGTTTTAATGTCACACGTTAAATCTGTGTAGCCTACTTTTTGTGTTAGTTGCTTTTGAAATTAAAGGACTCATTATGAAGATATTGATGAATGTAGGTTTTTTTCAAACTTTTATAATTCTCTTTTCCATTTCTTTGGGAAGATCGTTCTTCCTTAAAGTTGTTTATTATAGAAGTCATGGTGCTTTTGATTCAAAGTTCTTTTTTTCTTTCCTGTGTTTTCGCTCACATGGCAATATTACAGCTGAGTACTTTTGTTATATTTCTTTGAAATTCAATGACTCAATACAAAGATATTGATAACTGTAGATTTTTCATACTTCTATAATTCTCTTGGCTCTTGCGTATAGCTCAGGGGACTGGTTTCTCCTTGTACATTCTGGCTACATATTGAATAAGAACTAGGAAGTCTCTTGTGGACAGGAAGACTGGATGACTGCTTTTGGTTTACAAGTGAGGATTGTTGAAAAAATGCTTATATTCTGTCCAATAGAAAAGTGTCATAAGTGTGTATGTGTATGCTTTTTAAAATCTTCAGACTTCATGATTCAATGAGATTTAATGAGCAACAATTAAATGAATGATGCTTTTTCAACAGTGTGCAGATTTATTCATTTATTGATAGAAATGGTTGTAGTAGTAGTAGCATATACCTGCATATTGCCTTAGGGTGGGGGGGTAACTGGATCAGTGGTGGTCCATTACCGTAATTTCTTTCTGTAGAATGTGTCTAAAGGAGAGTACGAAGCGTTCAGTTAAAACTGACAGCTATCAGTTCTTTCTGTGAAAAGAAAATGATACATGATGTTATCCTGGTAAAAATACTTTATTTTTGTGAATTTCATCGGCTGGACGCACAAAAATCAGGTCTATGGCCCGCCAACAATAAGATCTTCGTTTTTAAACTTACTGAAAACTACTTCCTATCCGAAAAATAACATAGAAATTTGAAACCAGCTTATCAAAATTGGAGTTGAAAGAACATGACTAGAGAGCAGAAGAGGAGGTGAATGTAGAAAATTGTTTTTAAATTTTTGGCATTGTCAGGTTTCAAACCTTGGACCTGTTGAATAAGAGGAATAGATCATGAGAGCCCACAGTTCTTTATGAGAGTGAGGCCTAGACATTAAGAAGAAAGATAAAAATAGGTACCTAGTAGTAGAAACGTTGTTACACAGAAGACTGCTTCAGGTTAAATGGATAGAGATAGAGAAAACTAAAAGTGACCTGAAAGAACCTGGTCTCACAAACAGAGGCATCAAATAGACCTGATAACAACTGTGCTTCAGGGCAAAGTAAAGGCAAAGAGAATATAAGAGAAGACCTATATCATATACTGAAAGCGTAAAATCTGACAGTTGCCAACAACTTCATGAACTAATACTAGTAATACAGAGTGCAGGGAAGATGGAGAACTTTTGTGGCAAGGAATGGGGCACTAGCGGGGAAACATTTTGAAAAATGGAAATGCTCTGCACAAATGCTATTTATCATTATTAATAACGAGCTGGGTAACCCGTTCGATGAGCGGGCTAAAAAAAATCGATCCTCAAGTCATTGTGGAACCAGTATGCACTGTTTGGGAACGGAACTCTCACTTGTTTACAATGGCGTCTTAAGAAGGTGAACTTTCCCAAGATTAGATCTAAACGAAACTAATGAAAAACTGAAAATTAAACTACAGTGACTTCAGACTCCATATTATAACTGTGCACTCTTTAACTTTAAATGACTCTGAACCACCATTAATTTTGTCAAATTTGAAAGTTCAGTGGTTGGGAAGTTTTTCGCAACCAAAGTGACGAACTTTCACAAATATAATATTATTATATCACAAGATTTGACTTTCCTTGAAGTCTAAAATTTGACTTTCATCGAAGCATTTGCACATTACCCTTTGCACATTACCCCTCTGGTTTACTAAGCAGAAATATGGAAAAGCAACAAGCACACATATAATTTATAATATACAAAAAGCATGAACAAAAATAAAGGCGTAGGAAAACTTTAATTTCATGAAATATGTCAAAGCAAAGCCGAGATGATAAATAATTCAAGTCCACATATAATTTTTATTTTAACGTCATTCATATCATTGCATGCTGACTATAGCTTTAAAACCTTTCACTCTGAATCATGTATGATAAAAACAAAATGACATTTTCATCATGAGCAGTAAAACTTCTAAATACATACTACCAAGAGTCCAAGACAAAATACAGTCGAACCTGTGTAAGACGGCCACCCATTGTCAAGGAGAAAAGTGGCCGCATAAGACAAGTGGCCATCTTAGGCAGGAATTATCAAGATGAAGAAAACAAACCATTTCTTTCTGAGGTCTCAACCAAAGGTAGCCGCAAAGTTATTGTTGTTGTTTTCGCTGGGTTTTTTTTTCTTTTGTTGCTGCTTTTGGGCAAGGATGACAATAAAACTAAATGTGTCAGACAAGGCAGACCAAGTGCAATGGTAAAACAAACAAATGGGTCGCTACCACTCAGAGAACGAGCAACATTTCTGTTACAAGTTCTTGTTGACGTCCATTGTTACTTTGTTACAGACTGGGTAAATAGTGACCACTCATCTCACGTACGATTTGTGTACGAGCTCTGGACGGGGCTTATGGGTTATGAGGGATCACACGCTTACGCTGTGTGATTTTGAGGGAAAAAAACACTAAATTTAAGCTTAGAAGCAAGGGTGACTATTCATGCTATTCGAATACCATGAGAGGATAGGTTTTTAAAACTTACATTAATACGAGTCTATCAGCGGCATTTGAGATTCAATATTGACTAATCACACCACCACTATTCACCCAATGATTCTGAGCTCAGTGTGTGCCTACCTCTTCACGTATCGCAGCTGCTGTTTGCACAGCTCTCGGGTGATGACACACTGTTCAGTGTTCTAAATCTAAAACATAGGCGACAATGATATGAGCGCATGGGGGAGGGGATATAGGATGGGATAATAAAAAGAGGTGAACACTCGGCCAGCACACCTAAATACTCATTATCTCTCATTTCCCTGGTTCCTGCCATTCCCCCATCACACCTAGTCCTACCACAACTACCCACCCAGTGAGACTAACAGATCCCATGAGTGTGGTGGCTGGCTGACCTTTTTTTGGTTTTCTTTCAAATCACAACTGTAGGTCTCCTAACCCTGCACATCACGTAGCCATTCGCTGGCGTCACATTAATATTTACACCTAATGCTTAGAATTTTGAATGGGGAGCACAGTATGCCAGTCTATGCAAAAACCATTCACTGCCCTTCGAAGCAATGGTCTCTTGAGCTGTTCCTTGTGAGACTGACTACTCACATTATATTATTATAGTCTAACGCTTTGAATTTCGAAAGAGGCCAGGGGAGCTCAGAGTGCCAGCCTACGCAAAACCACCCGCTACACTTTGAAGCAATGATCTCACGGTGTGAGACAAGAACCTCATTAACTTAAAGGCATGTTTAATAACTCCTGTTGGCTCCACTTACCACTCAGTCCCGTAATCATCAGCTACAAATTTGTTGGATTTACCTCCGTGAATAGTGTGTGCAGGGAACAGCGAAAAAAAGTTTGCTCCGAGGAGTGGTCAGGCGTGTCTCAAACCAGCTCCTCATGGAGACAATTAGCAGGAAGACCCTGAGGTGGACGCTGGAAAGGAGAGATGAGCAGCTATGGACATGTGCCGCCTGCTATGATTCTAGCTCTGGATCCAAGTAAATCCAAGTAATCCATGAATAGTTTAGATATTATTATGTTAAGCTCTCATTTTATTACCGGTTGAGAAAAATGAGACGAAAATCCATTATATTGTAAAAAATTATACAGCATTCGAATGGCTCTGCCATGCTTCGAATAACTGAATAGTGCAAAAATCGTGAATGTTGAATGGTAGAATCGAATGCACACAGCTGAACTACCAATAGGTGGCAGGTGGCACTGATGCTTCACAGACTTTCCAAGATCTAGGAGACACACGGCAGAAATATTCTATTACTATAATCTAATACTTAATAGGCCTACTAATACTTCTTTTTACTTTTCCCTAATAATAATACTACCCTAACTACAAAACGGTTCCCTGCCCGCTTACAATCGTTGGAAAAGACAACGTAAGAACAAACATGGTATGCTGTTGACGGTATCAGTGCATCAATTGGCACTGATTGATGATTGTGGAATAGAAATAAAGTCCTTTCTATGAAACAAGGGCCAAAATGAAGCCCCACTAAGCTACATTCCTTGCAGAGTAAATGCAAAACTCTTCCAACGTCCGCACACATACTCTACATCACATCCCATAGAAATAAAATTATTAGATCATCACAAAATGTTAACATTGGAACATCACCGATTTCTGTGTGGATTTGGAAAACAGCAAAAATATACAAAACTATGAACATCAAATTTATATTACAGTTACAGCAGGCGCTTTATAAAATGGGAGTCAAAAGTCAAGAAGGGAAGGGTGGGTCAAAAGCTGACCATGTGGAATAAATCACAGCTCAAAAACTACTGGCATTTTGTGGGTGTAATTTTCAAATCACACAAAATACAAATAAATCTACAAACAATTTCCACATGGATTTGTATCAATTTACTTGTACCTGAAGAATATTCTTAAACTTACTGACCCAGATATATAGTACACCATCAAACGGATGTTACAGGATGGCAAAAAGGGACCACATGATATAGCAAATAATTTTGTTTGCTTCCTTAAAAACTACTAAACACGCTTTGGTGGTGTCAGGTACAGATGGATCATCTCTACAGACACTTAATTAAATTAATTCAAATAATCTGTTGATTGTTATCACAGAGTCAGTAGGGATTTTTAAAAAAAATTCTTTCAACTCCACACTTCACTGACTGACTGACTGCATTAATTCAATTGCTAACTGCAGACAAACAAAGACCAATATATCATCACTCCACTTGAACAAACACAAGCGTTCCTTTTTTCATTGAAGAGACAAAGTCCTAGCTGTCCACTTAGACAATCAAGGATACAATGAGTTGAATCAGCTATGGGTCCAGTGGATAATGGATTTGTCGAAACTGATCATATTTTCTAGAAACACAAAAGTTGAGCAGAGAAATAAAACAATGTGGAAATAGGATGGAATAAAACATATGCATGTATATAATGTATACATGTATATTAAAATAGATATATGTGTGTGTGTGTGTGTTTTTGTGTGTGCGCGAGTGTGTGTGTTTGTGTCTGTGTACATATAGATGCACACACAATAAAGTTACATGTACATTGTATTATTATATGGTTAACTTATAAAAAACGAAACTATATTTTTGCAGTTTGATCAGAAAATTAATTTTCAAAAATTATTATATAGGCCTACCTACTATTTACTTAAATGCCAAATGCACAGTGGTAAACAGTTTTTGAAGCTTCAGTGCTCGGAAACAGCGGAATGACATCGAAACCGCAAACGTAAGGCACCACTATATGAAGTATGAAGATCTTTGAAGGATCTGATACAGAGACAGTCGTTAACATGTTGCTTGGTGAACTGTTTGCCCAGAGTACCACGGACACCCCTGGTGTACTTAGTGAAAGATGATGTCAAGAAGAGTAAAGAAAAAAAAGCTACATTTAAGCTACAAAAAAATAATATAATCAATTCTCAACCTTCTTACCAATATTAATACTATGGCCAGGTTCCCAACCCTTTGGAAACTAGCCCCTAGCACCTACAAGAACTGTGCAACCAAGCTCCCTTGGGTAAACTGCTAGCTAGATTTATATCATTGTATCATGTATGTTGAGGCATGCATTCAGTGCTCAGACGGTTATACTTAACTTAGGTTACGAGCACTCAAGCCCATGCAGTTACAAGAAAAAAAAACATTAATCCTCAATTTGAATCTTGATCTGAGCCTAAATTTGTGTCCTTTGGAGTGTCGAGCAATGGGATCTGTCGGGGTAATAAAAGGAAAAGCACATTGAGTCATTTCGTCAGAGCTCTCATTTCCAGCAAAGTATCCTGTGTGCAGTCATTTCCTACAGACAGGTGAATGGGGAGGGGGGGCTAACTTTTCCGCACACTGTCATAGTTAGCTATTGGTCAATAACTTGATTTTTTAGTTTTAGCAAGACTTATATATAGCATTGCAGCACAAATCTCAGGTCAAGTAAGTGCCAAAGATTAGAGATGATATTAGAGAGTAATACACAAAAAAGGAGGAGAGCCAAGGATGACAGATGTTTGATAGAAATAAAGGAGCGAACCACACCAGAAACATACCCCATTCACACACATCAATCCCTTTGGAGTATGACATTTTAAAGACAGATTTTTTAATGCCTCTTCAGCCCTCTCTGTGACCTCCACCAATCCTCATAATTCTATAGGGAGCTAAAGGGTATGGAGATGAAAATGACATAATGGGGCCTACTATATTACAACTCTTTCAAAACGAAAGTAACATCAGTACGAACAGTATTTCCCAGTTTTCCTTTCTTGATTTTCAGGACATAATGTTTTATGCTTTCCAAACCCATCTTCAGTAAAAAAGCACTTAAATTCCATTGATATACACACACAATGTAAACTAAAGCATATGATTTATAAGAGGAAAAAATTGGTAACATATTGCCATTAAAAGCATACCGATCACAGTATGAAATTACAAATACACCTGTCCAGCATTTCGAAGATGTGAATATGGGAAAATAATTAGCTCAACACAAAAAGTGCAGGACCATATCTGGATGTCTAGTCTGATCCATGTGTATATAGTCTACTTTTTTCGCTGATCAGTATTGGCTCTTTGTCAGTCAGCATAAAGAAGTACAACTGGGCTCGGATAACGCAAACAAGGTCTCGAAATCACGGATAAGTTGTACAAGTTGCCATTCCCCGACAGATATCTCTTTAATTTTTCGCTATATCAGTTTACCCAACTTTAATGGCTTTGATGAATACATTTTTGTCAATCCCAAATGTGTTAAAGCTATCCTTGCCCGACAGTACTCATCTAAATACGTGATTTACAAAACAGGATAATTCAAACAGATCCTTATCGAAGGCCCTTGAACTAAAGATAGAGATACAGCACAAGAACATTAATTGTAGTGCCACAAACAAAGCCTAGCTACACAAGTCAGGCAGTGTATGGTAAGGCATATGTATGGATTAATGCCCCGTTCAACACAATGAGGTCGTAATGTATTATATCAAGCTGACCCTTTGAACTTGAAGTCCATCTCCAACAGAACTGAATTAAGTGGGAGGAAAGTCACGAAAACAACCCTAGTCTGCCCTAATGGGGCATCAAACCAGGGTCACACACACAGAAGTTTTGCATAATAGTTAATACCAATCAACCAAGTTAACACCTCACAGCGGCATCACTGCCCATCTGTTTCTGCAACAAGCAAAGTACTTCTCCAAGGAAATGATTAGAGAGAAAACAATAAGCCAGCTGAAATAAGCATTCTAGAATGCTAAGCCTCATATCAAGCAGCACTTTGTCACAGGCAAGGCCTCCAGAAATTCGAGGCACCAAAGCTGTGTTGAGATATGATAGAAGCTGAGAGAAACAGCCCCAAACCTGCACAGCAGAAATAATTTGTAGGAAAGAAAAACCATTGGCATAAAATGAAAACATGTACACAGAACTGAGGCAAAAGAAATAGTTCAACAGTACCAGGAATGTGTGAATGCAGAAAACAAAAAACCATGTTGAAAGATCATGAGTGAATGTAATTCTACACCAGTGCAGTGGCAATATGCACAAAAATAAGAAAAACACTGCAAGGAATGAGTGTTCTAACAATAGAAACACTATGAGGAATGTGTTTACTGGCAGCAAAAACTAAAAAACTCAAACAATCAGATTTCAGAGAAAGAGTGATCCTAAACCATGTTCAACACTCTTTATGTGAGGATAAGAAATTAAAATTAGTGGTTGTAACAATAAAGCAAAAACATCTGCATGACACACAAAAATGGACTTGAGAAATTATCAAAAGAAAAGTAATGTAAGTACAAGTGTGTATATAATATACTATAATATATATAGTAGAATCTTTATAAATGATACATTTTTGAAGGCACAAATCGTCTCCAAGATATGTTATAAGAGTCACTCTAAGGTATGTCGCAAGAACCTGATTGATTGTAATTGATCATAAATGTTTCATCATATAGATACAATATATACCGCTTGAGAGGTTTTCACTTTCCCCATCAGAGTCAATCAGGGGGGAATGGAATATAACATCCCAATAGACCGATGGAGAAACTTGAGAAAGAAACTTTTTATTTGGGAATTGAATCTATTTCTTCTGCGTGTAACAGAAAAGAGTCTATCCATTACAGCACAAGATAGGCTACAGAAACTTGTTTTGCAGAATTTTTTTATCAGATGCTGAAGTCGACTGAAGCCAAGATCATACACAAATTATACAGCATTTATGGAAGCGCAACAGTTACTCTCACTGTCACAAGTACATGAAATATGTCAACAATTAAACATGTCCCAGAAGCACAGATGCAGATATAAATGTACACAAGTATGTATACATACATGCAAATATCAACAATAGTTGTGTGACAAAATGATAAATAACAATAACATTGCCACAACATGAAAAGAAAAGTAACAAACATTTCATTCCATACTAAGAAAAAGCAAATAATATGAGAGGTGTACATGAAAAGGACTGTTAAAACCAAAGCAGCACCCACAAGACAAGCTTTTTCCATTGAAGTCTTTTTTCATCCACATACATTTCTGATGAAGCTGAAATGTAGAATATCGAAACACCAACAAAATCAAGGTGAAATGTGTGAATCTTCTATTTCTAAAGAAACACTAGAAATACTAACTATGGTACAGTCCATGCCGGCTTTAAGCATGGTCATCGGGAGAAAGCTTAAGCGTGCTTAATGCCGAAGCATGCTTAAGTGCAAAGTAGACATAATCCAGAGATTTTCATGTAGAAAATTCCCCGTGCTATTTCCCTTTGTTTGTAAGTAGGCCTATAGCGGTCCCCCAAAAGTGTGCACTGTTATTTAAACACCCGCCATGGTAGTTTTTGTTCGCTTGTTTGTTTTTGTTTTGTGGTCGAATGGGAAATGAAAACTTAATTTAGACGGCCAGTCACGATACAGCACACTAGGCCTACTGTAACACACTGCCTGTGCGTACCACTGCCCGCTGTGCCACTCATACCACCGTCTTCATCCAACCTCGCGCGTGATACACAATCAGGATTAATGGGTAATGAGGGTCAAAGGTGAAATCACAGCCAACCTCCCTTTCTCATCTCCCCGACTCTCTTTTTTTTTTTTTGTATTGTGTGTAGCTTTGCCCTGGGCCTAGGCTAGATCCTATGTCCGCGCGAACGGCTGTGTGCATCTCTCTGCCTTCCTCTCCGCCCGTGTGAGTGTGTGTGTCCATCACTTGCGTTCTTTGTGTTTCTCTTGACACACTCCACTGCTGCGGTGTAGACTGTGTTCGAACTTCGATGGGTCATCATGAAAATATTGACTGCCTTGTAAATGAAGCATGCTTGAAGCCGAAGTTACCGTGCTTATAGGCGTGTAATTTATATAGCAAAAATTCGGTAAGAGCCGTTTAGCGTGCTTGAGTCCGAAACGTGCTTAAGGCCGGCGTGCTTATAGCCGGCACAGACTGTAACTTTAACTGTGCGAGATATCCGAAACACTGTGCCTTGAACAATTTAAGCAGCACGTAAAAATATCACTACATTCACTTCTTTCACTCTTATATGTAAAAAACCCCATTTAAGTAAGAATTTCTTTAAAATTTATCTTTAGCAACAGCAGTAAAAGTAAAATAGAAAACCCTTCTTTTCTTTTGAAATATACAGAAGTATTTTAAAGTTCTCATGTCACACATCCCCCAGGCATAAAACTTGAAACCAAAAATACGAAAATGTGCTCCATTCTTATTCCTTGGACAAACAAACAATGACAATAAAGGGATAAAGATATCTATCAGTATGAACTCCTGTCAATACACATGGGATTTCTAGGTAATGAATAACAGCTAATGCACACTTGAGCTTACATGACATCAGAATATGGTTGGAGTCATCATACATTGTACAAAAGTTCAGACATTACAAGTACAATGAAACCTGCTCTCATGGCCATCTGTCCAAGACAATCACTAGTCTAAACAACAACTTTTCGCTCCCCCCCCCCCCCCCTTGCATTAAAAAAAAATAGCATAATGATATTTTCCAAGATGTCCACTTTTCTAAGACATCTACTTTTCTCCTTAACGTAAGTGGCTGTCTTAAACATTTTTAACTGCCCTACATCTTTTTGAACTTTGTAACCACAGTACACTGCTCTGCCCTTACGTGTCCAATGAGAAGGCTAAAGGGAGGGCTGTGCATAAGTATAGGATGCTGCCACAACACACAAGGGAAGCAACAATAGGATAACGAAAGGAAATTTGGAGGAAACATCATCATAGCCATCTCAAGAAATACGAGTAATTTTATTTGACTACGTCTTACACAGGGTGAGAAAGAAATACTCGAGTCCCTCATTTTTTTCTTGCATCAGTGTCATTATCAGCTTATTCAATTGCATGGAAAAAAGAAAAGACTTAATGCTCGTTACTAGAAGATTAGAGTGGCCAAAGAACAAAATGAAAAAGTTATGACGTAGAGAGAAGCAGAGAGCCCTGACAAAAAAATGCAGACACTGGATGAACAGGACGCTAAACGCTTCACAGCTTGCACTCTCAGATGACAGTAAGAGATACAGTAAGGTATAAGAATAAAACATGAAAGAAGGGATGTTAATGAAGGTTTACTGAATGTCTCAAAATTCAAGAAAACCATCAGCTTATACAGTCTGTGATTTGAACAAAAGAACAACAAGTTATCATCTCTATTGTGGAACTTAAAACAGACACAGTGTGGTTGACAGACAGCGAGAGATATTTGCTTGCACATCTACTGCAACAAAAGTAAATTCAGGCAACTATAATTATCCCAATGAGCACAAGCATTTGTCATAAAAGTTTCTTGTCTTTCTTCAGGTCATCTGTCTTTAACATTTTTGCAAAATGTATTGATTTGTATATTTATGGACATATATTTCATTTATTTTCACAAACACCTTGCTAAAACAAGAAGAGAACATCAAACAATGGATCACTTGAGCATGCACGATTTGTTTGTATCAAATAATACCAGATCTACAAGTAACCAATGAGTAACAATAAAAACACAAGCAATCTGCTTTCAAGTTTTTGTTCATAAAGCAAAATTTAACAATCACACCTTAAATCATCACAAAACAATTAGATAAACTCTCTTCATGAAAAAGGGAGCAGCTCAAATAATTCACAAAAAAAGCAGTTGACAGTCTATTGGCTAGTCATTTGGATGAAAAACTTAAGTCAGTGGAGTGAGTCCACTATCATCTTTTCGGAATGTTTTTGAGTTCATCTTAAGAAAAGGAAAGTAAAAAAATACCCCCAAAAAAACAACAAAACAAAAGGTTGAAAAAGGTCATGGGTGACTTTGAGGAAGGAAAGAGAAGGGGAAATCTGTTCTAATTAGGCTCCACTGTATAGCCCCTCTCAATTTCACTGACAGTCTCAACAAATAATTTTTCCAAGACTGAAATACATGTAATATCCAGTATTCAGCAATACATTTAAGAAAAATAGAAATAAAATAATGACTGAAATACAAACGCATACATCCAGTTTTAAGACAAAAAATCAGCTTACAGTCCCAACTCTCAAGGCTGGAAACACAATTAGCACTTTTTCTCATGGTCCAGCTACGATACAAGGATGTATCTATGCCTGCATTCCATTGATCAGCATGCACTACCCTCGATAATCAAAACTGAGGAAAGCCAGGGTAAAGGTGCAAACAGGGTTGGAATAAGAACTTTAAATCTTTGATTTGGGGCCGCCACTTAGGAGGCGTTTTTGGTTCCAAGTTTAGGCAGATCACCACTAAAGCTGTGTTTTTGGAGTACTGATTTCATCAACCCCAAAATATGTCCCTGGTCCTGTCCTACATTTACTTCCTATTTTCCCCATAATGTGATTCTCTGTCCAATAACAAATAATTCGAATGCACACAAAAACAAATCCAATAATATCTGACTGAATTATAGCCATTTAAAGGTAACACACTACGTGTCTGGGTGTGTACTATTGTGGAATACCTTGTGTACTGAAATAGTTAAAAGATTTCAGTCCATCTAGAGGGATGGAACACTTTCTGGACTACTGTACTGTGACCGTGAAAAGGGGAATTATAGACAGCTCCGATACACAGACTGTGAATGCCATTAATTTTATAGCTTTTCAGCACTTAAAAGGCTTGAGACCTGCAAACAACCCTTTCCTGACCATCCATGTTGAGCACACTGTTACCTTCTCCCTCCCCCCCCCCCTCCCTTTCCCCAACCCCCCTCAATCTTCCTTCTCATCTTCTCTCAACATACACGTACACGGAGAAATGAAAAGACTTGGGTATTCACATCAATGCTGGCTGCTCTCTCAACCAGAGCAGACCCCAACTAGCCCATATACATACGATACAAGCTTCTACAGGACCCAAATGCTGTTGTCTGCTAAAGGGGAGCAAAATGGCCAAACTGGGCATTAAGTTAGAGCAGTTTGGACACATAACTTAAATTTCAGTATATTATTATCATAAACACAATCATTATCTTAAAAACCATGCATAATCATCCTTGGGACAGGGTTGGGTTTTGTTTTGTTCACATTCCTCAATAGATGTAAACAATCTATTATTCATACAGCATTAAAAAAAAATCATCTCTAACTCTTGTTTACTTGCATGAAAAAGTAGGCCCTACTGTAGTAAAACTTCAACATTTTCACCAGGTACACAAGTCAAGATTTTGGGGGGGATCCTGTCAGCCGCACACTGCCGCCCTCCACCAGTGACACGTAGTGGCTTTGGTGATACTCTATCAGTTCTTGTAAAGAGGCAAAAGCCTGTACAGGGAAAGAAAAATGCATTTAATAGCATCTACAAACCAAAATATGAAGAGCAGCTGTTGGATTTTCAACAGAACCAGAAACACAATCTGAGAAATTTGGGTTGACTCAGGAGAAAGCTGTTAGAATATTCACTAATTTGAGTATAGGTCGCGTGTAGTAATACATTTACAACTTGGGAGACATTCGAGACTATTCTGTACATGCATGAATGATGAAATTCAAACATTTTTGTATGCTACCGTTTTTGAAGAAAAAAAATAAATCATCCTTGACCACAATTTATGGCACACACAAAAAGATCTATTCCAGATAACAGGCAGGTTCAAGTTTATCTAATCGTCAATTTTGTTTTGCTGTTTGTCTCAAACAGACAAACAAGCACCCGAAAATGCCTCTAGCATTTTTCACTAAAAGGTTGTGAGTGTGTAAGGCAGAGATCATTTAAAGGGTGGGGGGGGGGGTGTTATAACACGAAATAAAGTGATAACCTTTGAGCGCTCATGTCATCATCTGGTGTTCTGTTCCTTGTACAAACATTGAAATTTCAAATAAAAATCATAGTGATAACATATAAAAAGTAACCATCATATATCTAAATTGTCATTCCTTCCACTCACTACATTATAATTATATATATATCTAAATTGTCATTCCTTCCACTCACTACATTATAATTATATATATATCTAAATTGTCATTCCTTCCACTCACTACATTATAATTATATATATATCTAAATTGTCATTCCTTCCACTCACTACATTATAATTATAGTGAGCAAAATGTTTTCAGTAGAACTCACCACTTCATCTGGTTTCTCCTTCCCTATGGCGAATTTTTTATCATTGGTTCGACATCGGATTATCATGTTGTACACGATCTTTTCCAAATACACTACAAGGGTGTACGGGTGAGCTGACTTGGAGCTGGTACGGACCAGAAATCCTCCATTCTGAAAGAACAAATCATGAAGACACGAGTCAAAGGGAAATGCCATCTTCTTGTGTCTTCCAAATAAGAAAAAAAGCTTCAGGTATATATAAACTAAAGAAATTTTTAACAAAAATTTAAGAATTGTACCAAACACTAGTTTAAAAGTTATTTTCTTAACAATTAGAACCCATCCTGACTCCAAAAAAAATGCCTTACTCAATTTGACCCAGCTTAATCTGGTGAGGAAAAGAAAAAATGAAATAAAAAATGAGCATTACTTGTATTTCTTGCGATCACATAAACCGATCTCACCCTCCTGTAAATATGCGAAAGTTTTACTGAAATTAACAATTCTATCATAAACAAAGACATAGATAGGCCTAGCCTATAGATCTTAAATTATGAAAACAGTTGTGCAAGAAAATTTGAATGGGTCTCCAATCTTGCTGCGGTAGTTATCTTTTTCTTCTGTAGACTTAATAAGTGATGCTGTTTACCTCACAAAATAAGATATATATTATTAAATCTTAAATTATTTTCACTGAGTTTCATTACGAGTGATCACAATTTACAGTCAATAACACTTTGATCCTTTCTCGATTTCTCATTCAAATTCAAATCGAAAGCAGTCAAGATGCTAAAATTGTAAAGCTTCCTTGCTCAACATATCATCGCCGACACCAGCAATTCAGTCACGTTCAAATTTTGAGAACTTATTTTTGCACACTCTAAAAGCTCCATCAAAAATGCACCTTTTGACACCACCTAAACGCAGTTTGATGCTATGGTCAAGGATTATAATTTTCTTGATTTTCACGATTCCTGATCAGGACAACAGGAAAAAAACGAGTTTTTTTGTCGCTGGTGTAAAAAGTACCAAAACAGACAAAATGAATTCCTTGCCACACTGACAATATGCAACACCAACGATATGCATTTTTTAAAAAAAGAGACAAATCAAGTTCAAAGCTGACAAGAGCATCTTACCTTTGCATGACTTTTGAGCCTCTTCTGTCCTTCATCCCTTGAGATATCACCATGATACCAGTCATAGTCAGTCAGCTGGATTAAGATAATTAAGTACATTTCATAATTGCGTGAATGAAAAAAAAATCCTTTGTATAATACAAGTAATCGTCTTACTTAAGACAGTCTTTTTCTTGAAAGTCTACATTGTTATTTTACAGTCAAATGCATTGCTACTATGCTATAGTATCAAATTCTCATTTGTTCAATAAATAGGCCTACCTAATTAAAATTTAGTGTATTACACAGGTCATTTCACATATCCAAGAAGAGTAAAAGCACCAAGGAAGGTTTTAAATTGCACTTGTATAATAGAATAAGACAGGAAAAAAGAGTCTGATATGAATGAGTGCTTACAAAAAACTGATGTCAAAGAAGCAAGGTTTGCATTGTGGTCACTCCGTTTCAATTAAGAAATAGTTGGAAAAAAAGGATGGAAGGGTTTTGACGGTACTGTATTGTGATCAACAGAGCAGAGTAGTGTAACAGCAATTGTAAACTCTCCAGAGTGAAGTACATCAATGATTGCAATACTTCAAAGAATATTTTTAAGTACCTCTCTCTACAATACGTAACATAAGCTTTGATTCCAGCTTGCCACTAAGTGGAGTTTTTGGCTCCATGTTTCACCACCTCGCCATGTAAGTGACGTTTTGGGGGTACCAATTTCCTCAACCCCAAGATATAGGCCTATACCTGGTCCTGTGCTACATTTACCAATAGTCTGATGTTCACACAAACAAATTCATCAATATTTGACTGACTTATAGCCATTTTAAGGCAGCACCCTTTGAGCCTGGATGTGTAGAATTGGGGAATCACTTAGCTACTGATGGATGTAAGTAAACATATTTAGTCATATACTCATAGACTTTTTTGAAAAGGGGAAAGCTAATTTAAGAAACCAAACAACATAACAAATTAATCAAAGCAAAACAAAAGACTGCAACATAATTAGCAAAACCTTCCTCCCAAATTGTAAACAAAAGACCTTACAAATACCAAAAAGATTATCAAAATGCCTCATCTGAATTAAGACTGGAAGTAAAGAAAAGTATAATATTATATATTTGCATGACTGGAAATATAATTGCAATATGAACACAGAACAACTTCAGAACTCAAAATACTAATATTCTCTATAGTAACTAACAACAAATTTGGACCTCACACTTGTCACACCTAGGTATCCCAGCTTTCTGGAAAAGCATACAATCATAGGGTAGCAGTTCAAGTATTGCAAGTTAGGGTTTTGACAAAAATCAGTGTTCATCACTCATTCTCTTTTTTTAAAAACATGCTTCAAGGAACTGGGAATGTGTGCATGCTCTCTAAAAACCTCAGATTAGTGCGATTATTTTGTGAGGTATGGATTTACTGGTGAAAAATCAGTTTTTTGCTGGGTCTGTAAAATTTGTGAATCCCGAGTTACGATAGTTATGCTACTACCCCATGAAAGATGTTGGCTAATAAATCAATAAAAGCTCTTTTAATATATTAATTATATTAGTTGCATCAAAAAAACGTTTTTCAACACATGAATTGCTTGGTGCTTTTTTTGTTGTTGTTCCAACTTAAATTGGGTCACGCCCATAGTGTTTACCACATGACCTACACACGGAGACATCTGTTTTAGTTTTATGTACCCCATTAGAGTCAGGGCCTACTTGAGAAAGTAATAGTCTAGAGAATCCACATTCAACTAAGCTGATTCCCTCATACAACTAAGTTGTTAAAACATCCACCTTTTAAAAAACGGTTTGGTTATTTTGGCTGTATATGAGGCCTAAATAAGGTTAGGTGGGGGGGGGGGGGGGTTATAATATAGGCCATGAGTGGCCTAAATAAGGTTAGGTAGGGGGGGTTCAGCCAATATAGGCTATATTTGGCCTAAACAAGGTCACTCTATAAAAAAGCATGAGACATAATTCTCTTGGTTTCTAAAGAACTCTAGCACAAAATCCCACCATCCAGCTATAGCTGCTGAGTTAAGTTGTAAAAGTACTTTATAACATGTCTGCACAATATCAAGCATATTTCACAACAAACATCTAAAATACTATTAACACTTTTAAACAGCAAAAGAAGCTGATTGCATCCAAAAGCCCAGCAACCACCTACATCAAGAAGTAATTGTTTTCCAGAGCCCCAGGATAAAAAAACCCAGAACAAACAACATGCATCAGGTGGTTCTTAAAAATCAGGGTGTCCTTATTTTTGCAGTGTCTAAAGAAGGCAATATCAGCTTATGAGATAAAAGTAAAAGGGAGTGCTTATTTGGGCCACATATGGCCTAAATAAGGTAAGGGGGGGGGGTTTAGCTTATTTAGGCCACACATGCTCAAACTACCAGGGGACACCCTTTTAAGGCAACTGCGTTCGTTCCACTTTCATAATGGTGCACCTTTCTCATTTAGTACAGTTTTGTCTCAGTGTACAACTTATATATATCATAATGAATATTGTAAGAACAAAGCACGATACGCAAAGTTTTGCTCAATCTCAATGGTTTGAATGAGGGCCAGATTTTTCCTTCATGGGGTTGTCATGAATAGTGAAGAAAAATGTGGAAAAAAAAAGATAACGAGGTAGACGATAATTTGTCAAAAAAATTGCAAGTGCAAGTGAAAATCATAAGATAATTTTGTTATTTTCTGGTCATCTTTTCACGGTTTATAAAATGTTCCAGTGGGCTTACTACTAGATCTATGTCTCTGAAGAACATTTTGCTTGATTTTATTAGCTTTTTTCATGTACTTGAAAGCATAGAATAAAATAGTTTCACACAAATGTATGCACAATACCTTAAAAAAGAAAGATAAGGTCATTGTTGTTGTTGTTTTTTTAACGGAATCCGTTTTACGTTGAAAAAAGCGCTAAAAACAAGTTTAAATTTTTATAAGAATGCCCATAATATTAGGAATCCGAAATTACTACCTTGATCTAGTTTGCTGACTCTTTAATAACCATGAGCTGTTAAGAAAAAAAGAGAATGATATAGGATTTGTCTAAATATGACCATTAGTATTAGCATTAGTAAGATATTGCCCATTTTGTCCAATTATCCTTGCAGGTTTTAATCACCCTGTACTGCACCTCAATAAGCACAAAAAGAATATTTCTGTGACTTTGTATAAAGGTGTTTTGTAGTTGAGTTCTATGTAAAATTCTCAACAAAATAATGTACATTTGGACCGTACAACTGAGATAGACACTCATGCACACAATAACATTCACACATTACACACATACAAACACACTACTACATTTACTCTCTCTCTCTCTAGATCTCTCTCTCTCTCACCACAACCACACACAAAACAAACACATACACACCCACACACTCACACACACACACACACACACACACACAACTCTTACACTTGGTCCACTTATTTAGAATCATCCTCTATTTTGAAATAATCCCCCGCACTAAATAAAAAGATCAGTAGAATCTCGACCTTCCGAATCCATGGTTAGTTCAAGAAATCTACCATATGATGTGGCCTAAATAAGGTAAGGGAGGGGGGTTTAGCTTATTTGGGCCACAGTGTGGCCTAAATAAGGTAAGGGAGGGGGGTTTAGTTTATTTAGGCCACACTGTGGCCCAAACAAGGTCACCCTTAATTTAAACCTAGATCTACTTATAATTTCACTACGTTGACCACGGGCTCCGCCAGTCTTACTATAAAATAAACTGAGATCTACTTATTTCACTATGTTGACCCCGGGGTCCACTGATCCTTAGTCAAACCTAGATCTACTTATTTCACTACGCTGATTCCAGGGTTCACATCCTAAAACAGCATTTTGTTAGGTAGACCCCGCGGTCCACCTATCCTTTTGGGGCTAGATAGACCCCGTGGTCCGCCTATCCACTTCCTTGATAATAACTGAAAAACATGCCAGTTGTCATGAATAGTGAAGAAAAATGTGGAAAAAAAAAGATAACGAGGTAGACGATAATTTGTCAAAAAAATTGCAAGTGCAAGTGAAAATCATAAGATAATTTTGTTATTTTCTGGTCATCTTTTCACGGTTTATAAAATGTTCCAGTGGGCTTACTACTAGATCTATGTCTCTGAAGAACATTTTGCTTGATTTTATTAGCTTTTTTCATGTACTTGAAAGCATAGAATAAAATAGTTTCACACAAATGTATGCACAATACCTTAAAAAAGAAAGATAAGGTCATTGTTGTTGTTGTTTTTTTAACGGAATCCGTTTTACGTTGAAAAAAGCGCTAAAAACAAGTTTAAATTTTTATAAGAATGCCCATAATATTAGGAATCCGAAATTACTACCTTGATCTAGTTTGCTGACTCTTTAATAACCATGAGCTGTTAAGAAAAAAAGAGAATGATATAGGATTTGTCTAAATATGACCATTAGTATTAGCATTAGTAAGATATTGCCCATTTTGTCCAATTATCCTTGCAGGTTTTAATCACCCTGTACTGCACCTCAATAAGCACAAAAAGAATATTTCTGTGACTTTGTATAAAGGTGTTTTGTAGTTGAGTTCTATGTAAAATTCTCAACAAAATAATGTACATTTGGACCGTACAACTGAGATAGACACTCATGCACACAATAACATTCACACATTACACACATACAAACACACTACTACATTTACTCTCTCTCTCTCTAGATCTCTCTCTCTCTCACCACAACCACACACAAAACAAACACATACACACCCACACACTCACACACACACACACACACACACACACAACTCTTACACTTGGTCCACTTATTTAGAATCATCCTCTATTTTGAAATAATCCCCCGCACTAAATAAAAAGATCAGTAGAATCTCGACCTTCCGAATCCATGGTTAGTTCAAGAAATCTACCATATGATGTGGCCTAAATAAGGTAAGGGAGGGGGGTTTAGCTTATTTGGGCCACAGTGTGGCCTAAATAAGGTAAGGGAGGGGGGTTTAGTTTATTTAGGCCACACTGTGGCCCAAACAAGGTCACCCTTAATTTAAACCTAGATCTACTTATAATTTCACTACGTTGACCACGGGCTCCGCCAGTCTTACTATAAAATAAACTGAGATCTACTTATTTCACTATGTTGACCCCGGGGTCCACTGATCCTTAGTCAAACCTAGATCTACTTATTTCACTACGCTGATTCCAGGGTTCACATCCTAAAACAGCATTTTGTTAGGTAGACCCCGCGGTCCACCTATCCTTTTGGGGCTAGATAGACCCCGTGGTCCGCCTATCCACTTCCTTGATAATAACTGGAAAACATGCCAGTTGTCATGAATAGTGAAGAAAAATGTGGAAAAAAAAAGATAACGAGGTAGACGATAATTTGTCAAAAAAATTGCAAGTGCAAGTGAAAATCATAAGATAATTTTGTTATTTTCTGGTCATCTTTTCACGGTTTATAAAATGTTCCAGTGGGCTTACTACTAGATCTATGTCTCTGAAGAACATTTTGCTTGATTTTATTAGCTTTTTTCATGTACTTGAAAGCATAGAATAAAATAGTTTCACACAAATGTATGCACAATACCTTAAAAAAGAAAGATAAGGTCATTGTTGTTGTTGTTTTTTTAACGGAATCCGTTTTACGTTGAAAAAAGCGCTAAAAACAAGTTTAAATTTTTATAAGAATGCCCATAATATTAGGAATCCGAAATTACTACCTTGATCTAGTTTGCTGACTCTTTAATAACCATGAGCTGTTAAGAAAAAAAGAGAATGATATAGGATTTGTCTAAATATGACCATTAGTATTAGCATTAGTAAGATATTGCCCATTTTGTCCAATTATCCTTGCAGGTTTTAATCACCCTGTACTGCACCTCAATAAGCACAAAAAGAATATTTCTGTGACTTTGTATAAAGGTGTTTTGTAGTTGAGTTCTATGTAAAATTCTCAACAAAATAATGTACATTTGGACCGTACAACTGAGATAGACACTCATGCACACAATAACATTCACACATTACACACATACAAACACACTACTACATTTACTCTCTCTCTCTCTAGATCTCTCTCTCTCTCTCACCACAAAACAAACACATACACACCCACACACTCACACACACACACACACACACACACACACACACAACTCTTACACTTGGTCCACTTATTTAGAATCATCCTCTATTTTGAAATAATCCCCCGCACTAAATAAAAAGATCAGTAGAATCTCGACCTTCCGAATCCATGGTTAGTTCAAGAAATCTACCATATGATGTGGCCTAAATAAGGTAAGGGAGGGGGGTTTAGCTTATTTGGGCCACAGTGTGGCCTAAATAAGGTAAGGGAGGGGGGTTTAGTTTATTTAGGCCACACTGTGGCCCAAATAAGGTCACCCTTAATTTAAACCTAGATCTACTTATAATTTCACTACGTTGACCACGGGCTCCGCCAGTCTTACTATAAAATAAACTGAGATCTACTTATTTCACTATGTTGACCCCGGGGTCCACCGATCCTTAGTCAAACCTAGATCTACTTATTTCACTACGCTGATTCCAGGGTTCACATCCTAAAACAGCATTTTGTTAGGTAGACCCCGCGGTCCACCTATCCTTTTGGGGCTAGATAGACCCCGTGGTCCGCCTATCCACTTCCTTGATAATAACTGAAAAACATGCCAGTTGTCATGAATAGTGAAGAAAAATGTGGAAAAAAAAAGATAACGAGGTAGACGATAATTTGTCAAAAAAATTGCAAGTGCAAGTGAAAATCATAAGATAATTTTGTTATTTTCTGGTCATCTTTTCACGGTTTATAAAATGTTCCAGTGGGCTTACTACTAGATCTATGTCTCTGAAGAACATTTTGCTTGATTTTATTAGCTTTTTTCATGTACTTGAAAGCATAGAATAAAATAGTTTCACACAAATGTATGCACAATACCTTAAAAAAGAAAGATAAGGTCATTGTTGTTGTTGTTTTTTTAACGGAATCCGTTTTACGTTGAAAAAAGCGCTAAAAACAAGTTTAAATTTTTATAAGAATGCCCATAATATTAGGAATCCGAAATTACTACCTTGATCTAGTTTGCTGACTCTTTAATAACCATGAGCTGTTAAGAAAAAAAGAGAATGATATAGGATTTGTCTAAATATGACCATTAGTATTAGCATTAGTAAGATATTGCCCATTTTGTCCAATTATCCTTGCAGGTTTTAATCACCCTGTACTGCACCTCAATAAGCACAAAAAGAATATTTCTGTGACTTTGTATAAAGGTGTTTTGTAGTTGAGTTCTATGTAAAATTCTCAACAAAATAATGTACATTTGGACCGTACAACTGAGATAGACACTCATGCACACAATAACATTCACACATTACACACATACAAACACACTACTACATTTACTCTCTCTCTCTCTAGATCTCTCTCTCTCTCTCACCACAACCACACACAAAACAAACACATACACACCCACACACTCACACACACACACACACACACACAACTCTTACACTTGGTCCACTTATTTAGAATCATCCTCTATTTTGAAATAATCCCCCGCACTAAATAAAAAGATCAGTAGAATCTCGACCTTCCGAATCCATGGTTAGTTCAAGAAATCTACCATATGATGTGGCCTAAATAAGGTAAGGGAGGGGGGTTTAGCTTATTTGGGCCACAGTGTGGCCTAAATAAGGTAAGGGAGGGGGGTTTAGTTTATTTAGGCCACACTGTGGCCCAAATAAGGTCACCCAAAGTAAAATCATTATCAATTACAAGTCTATGGGAAATCAAATGCTAAGATCTGTGTTAGCTTTCTGGTAAATATCCTCTGCCTGGACCTCGTAGGATTCCACAGAAAGTTACAAAAGAACAAACAAGGTTCATCATTGAACTTTATCAATGCAATCATCAAGACATTTTAAAAAGAGAGAGAGAAATGATGAAAAGAGGGACATTGCAATCACAATAAATTCAGTAGAGGCTGAGACAAACAATTTGATGGCTATCAGCTGTCAAAGTCCATAGTGTGCCTGCATGTGCATGTGTGGGTGTTTGTGTGTGCATGCATGTGTGTTTCTGTGTGTTTTTCAGGGAATCTCCAAGAGTGTGCGTCCATATATATATATATATATGTATATATACAGTCAAACCTGCCCTGACGGCCACCCCTATAAGACGGCCACCTGTACAAACGGCCACTTTCCATTTCCCCCCTTGCGTTTTTTCTATATAATCTAACTGTGTAAAACAGGCACCTGTCCAACGCAGCCGCGGCCACCATATTTTAACACACAACCCCTATCACACCAAGTAATAACACCTGTCTTAGACGGCCACCTTAGTGACTCCATTACGTTTTGTTATAAAATATTGTGCACTGGCCCCTGGCGTTGTGGGCGAGCCGTCATAATCCAATCCCTTGTCGTTGTTGTTAGATAGTCCCTCCAACCGATCATGTTGCGTAGGCCCCTCCCACTGTTGACCAATGGGTACCAATTTTCAGCTGCTGGTGAGGTAAGCAGGTGATCCCTCATAACCCATAAGCCCTGCCCAGAACTCATACACAAATCGTACGTGAGATGAGTGGTCACTCTTTACCCAGTCTGCAACAAAGTAACAATGGACGTCAACATGAACTTGTGACAGAAGCGTCGCTCATTCTCCGAGTGGTGGCGACCCATGTGTTTGTTTTAACATGTCACTCGGTCTTCCTCGTCTGATACATTTTGTTTTATTGTCACTCTTGCCCTTGCGCAAAATCAGCAACAAAATAAATATAACAAACAAAATACAAACCAACAACAACAAAAACAAGAACAATGCGGCTACTTTTGATTGGGACTTCAGATTGGAATGGTTTGTTTTCTTCATCTTGATCAGTCCTGCCTAAGACGACCACCTGCCTTATACGGCCACTTTTCTCCTTGACAATGGGTGGCCGTCTTACACAGGTTTGACTGTATATATATTTAAACAAAACATATGTGTGTATGAGAGCAAAAATGGGGGCTGGAATGAAAACAGTGCTTTGAACTGAAGTAGGAGGAATAGGCATCAGCTCGTACCGCACGTTCAGAAGCAGCGTCAGAATAGATTTCCTGGCTCTCTTCTTCTTGTACTGGTTGTGGAGCAGAGTCTGGGGTGGGGGGCAGAGGCTTTTTCTTACCAGCACCTTCAGTCTGTACAGCAACAGTGAATAACAAACCTTTACAGACTAGAACTTGCATCATTTTCAGAATCTTTTCTGTCCATATCATTTACCTCCAGCTCTCAGAATTTCTCAGTTAAAGTAATATTATAAACATGTGAGGAACAGTTGCAAATTGCCATATGCAATATGTTTGAAATCCAACATGTTACTTTGGCATACAACTGTTCCATAAGATTTAGACACAGACATATTTCTGGATAACCTGACATAATTTTTCTCTGTTCATCATCATTGCGCATAAATCATAGCAGTCTAAACGACAAAACAAAATGACAACTTTCTTACGACTTATTTTAGTCCATCTCTCTCTTTAGAGAAATATATAAATTTCTTAAAGCTTCTAAAAACTGAAACCGATGTGGACAAATTTATACACCAAACTCATTTAGTTAGAATGCAATCTGTTAAAGCTCACCTTCACCATGACTTACTATATATAATACTTTAATGATTTAAGTTGAGACTTTTTAGGTTGACTTCAACATAAATCATGACAAGCTCACTTGGTGAAATTGGAATTTTTTTTTCACAAACTGAAGGTCATTTAAAGAGAGCACTATTGTAACTGTCATAACTTCAATTAAAAAATTCAGTAAACAAAATAACATTTAAAAATAAAAAATGCTAAAAGAATTTATGGAATACCCTTATGAAATCCATTAGAAAATTGTAGTATGAAAATTAATACAAACCTGATTAAATAATTCTAATTTACATTTATTATCTTTATAATGGAAAAAATCACTCATAAGAAGAGCAGTCGGACGATATATATTTTTAAAATATGAACATGCCAGAGAGGTTCAAATGATCCAACAGTAACCATAAATAGTACATGTTATTTCTAGAATACTCACCATAGCTATAGGTTACAGAGAATATAACTAAGTAAATCTAAGAAATATGTTTTATATAACAAGACAAAAGTAAAAAATGAACAAAACCAAGCAAAAACTACAAGTGAAAATATCACAACAAGTAGAATGTCAGTGTAAAAACTCAAAAGGTCGTTTGATTAACAAGAGAAAGAGGCAAAGAACAAAAAGCAGAACAGTGATTTCTTAGTCTCTTAGTCAGTCTTGTCAGGGCGATTGGTAGTGGTGGGAAAGTGTGGGGGGGGGGGGGGGTGAAGATCAATACAGATCCCACTAAAGAATACAAATATTTTAGTATATTTTAAAAGTTGGGCTTTCTATAGTTTTATTAATTCTTTTCAAGGCACTTAGGCACATCAAAGCAGATCCTAAGATATATATATATATATATATGACTGAAAATCATTTCTCTTTAAAAGCAGAGGTATCATTCTAACCATGCATACTCAGGTGCATTATATTCGATATAACTGTAGTCATATGAGAAAACAAACGGATAAGATGTGTAATGAGTAAGGAGCACTTCTCAGTCTATAGTTTTGAGAGAATAGGATTGCACATAATGCATACGCATACAGTTTAAATAACATGCCTTGTATACCAATTACAGTGGCTGTAAATAGTACTGAACGATGCAGACATGTAACTGTAAAGTACAATTCTACTTCAATAACTAATACATGTCATATAAGACTCAGGCAAGGCATCCACCAACTTATGAAGTTAACAGCATTTCCCTCTTCTCTGACAGGACATTTCTGGATAAAAACGACCCTAATCTAATTATTAGACCACTTCACAGAGCTCATCCCTTTTCGGTTCAAGTCAATGTCAAGCCATACATACGGACATACACCACAGCATGGAACTGAACAAGATATCTCTATCTGTTTAAGATCCAGTGCACACTGCCAATTGGATTCATTTGATACAGACGGGGCCTGCCATAATATTTTTCCTTCATGGGTGGAGCTAACATCGGCAAAATGAAACCTAATTCAACTAAACAAATTCAGCTGACCTAAAATTTTGGCACAATAGAACCATAATATAAGGATCCCAAGAAAGATGATGGAACACAGAGAACAACAAACACCTAAGACCTGAATGACTTTGAATCAAATAACACAATGAGAAAAACCTAGCTGATCAGGAAGAGAGACAACAGAAAGGAGTGGGGGTACTATGATTGTCAACGTCTGCTCCAGACCTGACACCCAAAGAAAAAAAAAGATGATGAGTGGACTGGATGTAAGAACTATTTATTTTATTTGTTTTTTTTCTGAAGTATATACCATCAAAAGGAGTCTAAATGGAAATTAAATATACACCTGATGCACAGATTATCTACATAAAAGGAAAGGGAAAGAATGGGGTGAACAGCAAAGGAAAAATGTTGGGAGCAAAACGGGGTTATAGCATAGTGGACTCATTTGTGTACACCAGAAATCAGATTAAAGCATGAAAAGAGACAAAGAAAGGATATAGATACGGCCTTATCAGTGTCCTAGCATTCATGAATTGTCAAGAGAATATACTAAAAAAAAAATAATGATCTGTAAAATACAATTTTGAAGTTAAAATGTACCATCTGAAAATGCAATAAATCTATTTCTGAAGCCCTTAACCTTTTAAATCAGCCCTCAAAAGACCCCATGCATACATGCACCACTTCCACTGCAAACAAGTTCAAGGTTGGGCATACCGGGAAACAAACGACCTCACACGGCGGGGGAGGTAACCATGTGTTGTCTACGGTGGCCAGATCTTCCGGCCGTGGTGGGAGGGGTAGGGTGGTGGACATAGGAGGCAGCAGCTCTGTCTTCCCCATCGTCACACCACCCTCCCCACCCTCTTCAAAACTAGGTGGCAGCGGCCATGGTGGAAGGTCAGGGGCGATGGACGGGGGAGGGTCAGGGACACGGGAGCAAAGGTCAAGGGGACGGGGGAGGTCACTGGCCCGTGGAGGAAGAGGCGGGATCGGGGGCATAAATGTTGGAGTCCGAGCCGAACTGTGGCCATTGGCTTGAGAAGCTGAAACATTACATTTGCAAGAACGATAAGTTGTTGGCTGAAATATTCCATTTGGGGAAGTCGACTGGTAAATTGTTGGTTGAAATATATTACATTCGGAGCACTGGGAAGTTGTCGGCTGAAATATTACATTTGGACTACTTGTATAGTAATGGCTGAAATATTACATTCGAAGATCTGGTAAGGTGTTGGCTCAAGTATTACTTAGCAGTACAACAAAGTTGTAGGCTGCATGTAGTCATATAGAGTCGGTTAATTCTTGGCTGTAATATTATAATATATTCTGGAGTACCAGTAAGCTGCTGACTGAAAGAATATATATTTGGAGTACACGTACTAGTAAGTTGCTGACTGAAATATTACATTTGGAGTACATGTAAATGTAACAGAAAGTTGCGGGCTGAATTGTTTCAAAGTATTGTCTCTTCGCTCAAGGCAAGGATCATGAAGATAGCCTTAATTACAGAACACTTCTTTGTAGCTCAGCTGCACTTTTATGTTAGTTAGACACATTGATATTTTAGCTATACCCATACCCAGCTTAAACATGTGGGGAGAGGTGGGTTGAGAAATGGTCGGGGGGGGGGGAGGGGGGGTTGAGAAGAGGAGATCAAAAGAGACGAGATCTATAGGCTCTTGAAAAGGGCAAAAACATGACGTCAAACTTTGTAAATAATTTGTAATACTGAATGGTTTTTTATTGTATAGGACAAGACAATCAAAGAGAAATTTATCCAACAAATTTAGCTTGGAACACGAATAAATCACAGAAACCTCTTTAGATCTATTTGTTATCTATACTATTTAAATAAAGATATACATCTGTTTGATTCATTCTTTCATTATATTGGCGTTCTCTGAATATAAATGATTATTAGTGAATTCAGAATGCTGCAACTAAAAAAGGAAGACAGAGAATAATAATACACACAAGTACACATTATATCAAATTGATCTAAAAGACAAGATTAAATTTTCAATCTCAAGGCCCCCCCCCTCCTCCCTCCCACCCCCCAAAAAGTAGACAAGAAAGCACAAAAGGCCAGAGCCTGGTTAGGACGGGAGCATCCCAGAAGGTAAAAATGATGGTAAAAATTATTTTTTTTCAAACTTCAGGAATGAAAGAGAGAGTCTTACTATGCAAATAAATAGCAGTATTGGCTTTGGAGAACAAGAACTACTAAAGCAGCACAAAATAAATATGTTACACGTTAAAACATAAAACTTGAATGAAGTGTTAAAAGGGAAAAAAGCTAGGGCAACTGAGGCTTGGTGAAAAGGGGGGAGGAGGGGGGTGGTGATGGTGGAAGACAAAAGTTTGGGAAATGGAAGGGGAGGGAGGAAGACAAAAGTTTGGGGGGTGGGGGGGGGGGGGTTCAGTTGCCAAGTTTGTTACAGTGGTGTACAGAAACTATACCTCTGCAACCCAATACACAATTCAGATTACCCCCCCAAAAAATAAATCACTGACATAGCTTCAGAAAACTCTGCCTCACCTAACATCCTGCCCTCTAGATAATCAATGGAAATGTTTCAGTGCACTCCAGATAAATATTGAACTTATTATTATTTTTGCAGTTTTAGTTTTTACTTTTAAATAAAATGAGCAGATTACATTATCTGCATTCATTCTATTTCAGTCAAAACTTAGAAGTACTATCTGCTAGATTTACAAAAATACAATCTATTTCAGAGAAATTTAAAGATTTCTAAACTCTAACTTCTTGTCGAAAAATAAAAAAAGATATATATGGGTTATCTGGTTCATGTATTGGGGTCACAAAATTATTAAGTGTTTAGGGTAAAGCTCAAGAAAAGCGCTCCACTAGGATTTAGCACACTGATGACCATTTCATAGAGGAACAGTTTCAGGGTAAGCACCATATACCCCAAATTTAAGTGTTTTAACAATGAAGTAGCCTATCCTTTCAAACAGTCATAATAATAATTTATCCTCCTCTAAAATGTGATGTATCTTTCTATAAAAATCAATGTCTTTGAAATCAGACAAAGCTTGGAACATTAATACTGATTACTTCTCCCTTTGCCATGAAACTTTACACACATAGACTTGTTGTCCACCTGCATGGAAAATTTAAAAAAAATTAAAATTGATATCTAAATGCAAAATGGTACACAGTGAAAAAAGAAAGGAGGGGGGGGGGGGGAGATTTGGGGATGGAGGCAATTCTTGACTTTCACAGTGTTTAGTACTACACAATCAAGGGTGACCAGCTACTGGCAGCCAACACGAACAAAAGAAAAAATATAAATGTGGTGCAGAAGAAAGCGGAGAAGTGTCAAGACCTTTCCATGATCAGAGTGCCACTGAGGAACAGGCGGCAAGACAAGAACCTTGGTCGGAGCGGTAGTCGGACTGGTGATAGTGCCAGGAATGTTTGGTAATGGCCGCACTGACAGTTGACCTCCAGACGCAGAAGAAGTGGAACCACCACTGGTATTGTCGTCAAAACTATTGTCCGGACTCTTGAAATCTGACTTGGAAGGGATGGGGGGCTGATCTCTGTTGCCCGGTTTGGGGAGCAGGCCCGGCCGTGCTGCTATCGCAGGTTTTTCTGCTGTGGCAGGTTTCACTGGAAGTGCTGGTAGTTCTTTTTTTGTGGGCACAGAGTTGTTGTTTCCCGCAGCATGTTTTCCTCTTTGGTTTGTCGGTGGCTTTTTAGCCTCAAATGAACTGGGGCTGCCCCCCACCACTGACAATGTAAAAATACCATTTCGGTGCATAATCAAATGAATGAATACATAAAAATGATTTTAGATTTTTTAAAAAAAGAATATATATGAGGGGCATCGTGGTTAAATCTGGCACTCGTCAAAATAATTAAATCCGAAAATCAGCATTTTTCAGCCAGTTCAGACATTTTTTTCGAATTTTTGTTTTTTGGCTCAACACCTCGTATGTCCATTCAAAAACACTTTTAGGTGTGGATTTAATGAAAAAAACGTTGATTAAAGGCACAAAAAATGTAAATTTGCAATTTCCAAGGACTCTTAAGCTATGGAAGTCGCCAAAATTTGGCGGAGATTTTCTCGCTAATTTTACTTTTGAAACCAGGAGACCTCACCTCCTTCAATCGCCTATATCTCGACTTCTGTTTAAGATAAATGAATATTTTTTTCAGCGAAAACAAGGCAAATGAGTAACCTTTAAGATGATACCAATAACGCCATATGCCCAAGAATTAATGAGCACCTGATTCTACTGCGTCGTGACATATATATATATATACACACAGTATACAGTATACAGTCAAACCTGCCTTACCAGAAACCCGTTTAAGACGGAAACATTCATAACGGAATTTCCCTGCTCCCCCCTTGATAAATCCCTCTATAATTACCTGTATAAAACGGAAACCTGCCGATCACTGAAACTGAAAGAGAAATTTCTTCTCTTTGGAGGGTTTTTACTTGCACTTGCAGATGGAATATGTTTTTTCCACTCAGCCCAGATTTGAAACAAAACTATCAAGTTTGGTTTCATTTGCTCAAACCTTTAAGCCATGCCGTCTGGCAAGGAAGAGGAGTCATTGGGTGCAACTTTGGGGTAGATTTTACTCAATCTATGTGAGCCCTGAGCGGTACAGATGGTAAGGGTGGTGTGGGTACGAATTCTCAGTGATGCTCCAGCACGAAAACTTTCCTGGCTAGCCAGAGGCCAGAGGTGTGAAATTAGTTTGAACAATGCCAGCAGCCCTGATCGTACAGCCAGCTGAGAAAAAAGTTCCTTGAATCGTCGTTATATGCACAGGTGTAACGGCATAGTTTGACTGTGCTTAGAACACAAAAGGGTGGGGCTACAGGTGGAAGCAAAGGAGATATTCAATCCTTTCTGTTTTTAATATAAGGTCAAACAATGGTCTTATGAGAATCAAGACCAGGCGGCAATGGATCAGTAGGATTAACACAAGCCATTATCAGAGAGGTTAGGATTGCACTTGAGAGCAGTGCAGTTTTGACCACAGCTTGCCCACCTGCTGGGCCTCTGGATCCCCCCCTCCCCCTTCCCCCTAAATCCTTCTGTCCAAGACGGAAAATATCTCAGACAAAATTTTTTTCTGGCTCCCTTGTCAAACCTCGTTATACCTCCCCCCCCCCCCCCCCTCCCCGCTATACGCCAGGTTTTGCCAATACATGAAAAAGAAAGTCTATAAATACACATTATTTGCACGTTTACACCACCATTCTAGCGCTTGTAAATTTGCTCCTGATTTGTGATGATTATGAAGATGCTATGTAAAAAAAAATGGAAAGAAAGTTTTAAACAGACTGAAGAAACATCAAAGGAACTGCGCCACCTCAGCCTGCTGGCAAAATATCTGACGCTGCCAGATACAGCCTGATGACAATGGACCATACAACTTTGTAACTTCCTTGCCGATGACCAAAAGGCTGGTAAGTGCCTGTGAAACTTTCACCTGATTTCACCACAATGCCTTTTTGTTCATAACAATAAACATGCACACAAATCGTCAGTGTTTTACAGCACTTGCAACACAATTAGGTCACACAAGTGCCAAAGATTAGAGGAGTTACCAGAGAAAAACGAACACAAAAAAAGAAGGAACAGAGATGACGATGATAGATGTTTGATAGGAAAGAAGGAGCAAACCACACCAGAGCCCCTGCCAACCACCCACACAAATAATACCTGAACAAACAAATAAACAAACTGACAACAACAACATGCTGACCATTTGGAAAGAAAACACGACCAAAATGACACCAGCAATATGAAGCATTTTCAACAACATTTTAAAAAAATAACAAAAATGATAAGATATACACTCACCCAATCCTTTCATTCTGTTCTGTAATAGACAGAAATGAAGATAAGTTGTAAAAATTAATTTCACATAATATATTGGAACTAAAGAAATTATTAGACCAAACATTTCCACTTGAGAGTTTATTTTCGCTGCTAGTTCACTAGTTCAATCAAAATCTTTAATTTAACTTATATCTCAATATTAACAAAAGGAAAGGAGCCAACGAGAAGAGAGGCTCTGACAAAATGTCGGCAGAGCTTGTTTTTTGATACTCCTACCTTACAAGGTTCTCAAGAAAAAGTGGATGTTCCTGTTTATCCATCTGTCCCTATATCATTGCCCGCCCCTTTCTCC